GATAATTAGATTATTACTATTTAGATAGCCGGCAATTTTTGAACTATTAATACTTTCCATGACACGATAGCTGGTACATGTAAGAGATGTGGGTTTATAACTATTAGCATCTGATGTGAATCTTTTTTTAAAGATGGGTGAAATCAAAGCTTGAAGCCACTGTTTAGATGAGGAGCTTGAATTAAAACTTAATTGAAATATAAATGAAAACGGAATACATATTATGTGTGGTAATTTCATTAAAAGTATATATAGTATAACATCAGGACCGAATGATGTGCTAGGTTTTACGTTTACTAGTTTTTGATAAAAAACTAGTAAACGTAAGTTTAGTAAACGTAACTAGTTACGTTTACTAGTTTTCTGCTGAAAAGTCTACAACATCGATATTAGTATCATCATAAAATTTTTTGTTTTACGCAAACAACCGTTATCTATCGTAAAAACACTTCTAAAGTGTTTTTTAAACTACCTTAGCAATATCAATATTGCTGAAAGTTAAGTTCTTTATTTTTGGGTTATGTAAACTTTTATTTGCGCAACTAAAAAACTTAATAGCTTTATTGTCTTTAAAAAGTTTGAGTTCCACATTCTTGTGGTGTGTAAATACGGCTTTTTTACATTTAGATGCATATCTAATATATACTTTTTTATGAGAATTGGTCTTAGTTTAGAACTACCTTTTTAAAAAAAATGATTTTCGAACTAAAACCTAAATAAACTTTAGATAGAAATCGCTTGGTAAAAATGATGCTTGTTAACTTTTTGAGGCAAATATTTATTCTGTTATAAAATTATTTCAGATATTTTCCTGTCAGTTTTTTTCCATCGATCATTTCAAAATAATACTCTAAAAATTTTTAATTGGGCGACATTTGAGGATGTTTACTAGATTATCAACTTTAGCTAATTAATTTAAAGGAATCTTTTCAAAGAAAGAAGTAGCAGTATAGTTGTAATGCAATGAAACCACGCTAGAACAAATGACTCTAATTAGTGAGATATTAATGACCACATGTTTATTAGTCTATAGTGAAATTTAAGCATAAATAATTAGTGACTTACTTAGTAAAAGACCCAAGTCGTTTTACGAAACGTCGTTTTACAACAAGTACAACAAGTCGTTTTACGCTGGAAAATTTTTAATAAAAATTTTCCAGCGATGGAGACAATGTACAGTTTTGACTAGGGATTGCAATCCCGCACACTTTTCAATCCCGCGGGATCCGCGCGGATTTTTTTAATTTATGTGCGGATCCCGCGCGGGATTGGTAGATTTCTTATGCACGTTATAAAAGGCAAAATGATAATTGTATTTTTCTTTCAATTATTTCAGAAAAAATATACTCAACTTATTAAATTGATAAGATGAGGTAAATGAAGCCAAAAACACAATTCATTTGTAAATTAATATAATTCTTAATTTAATGAACAAAAGGATAAGTTAAAAATACGTAAAACGTCTTTTAGCTTTACGTAGAGCGTCTTTTAGCTTTACTTATTTTTAAAAATAAGTATGAGAAAGTATCATTGTAAGAAATGCGCTCTTAACAAACAGACCCTACTTAAAGTATCATCACATAATCTACTCCTCAAAGGATTGCATATATAGCCAGCAGCTGAAAAAGCTCGCTGGCCTCTACGCTTGTTGGTGATATGGTCATCAAGTAACTATGAGCTATATCTAGAAACTTACCTCTTACTCCGTTATTTTCATAGGCAGACATTTCCTGCTTGAATAATTTATCAAAGTCTAAAGAATTTAAATTTAGTATCTCCTTTACATTTTCTGTCCAGCTTTTCTTGCCTTTCTGTATATGATTTTCCAATTCTTTTTTCAGCGATAGAATTGTAGGAGTAAGTATTTGGGAATTGTTAATAGAATCTACAGGTTCTTTTTCTTCGAGTTCATTTTCTTCGTCTTTATTTCTTTCAATTGTATAAACTCTTGTCAATATTTTTTTTTATTTCTTGACGCATAACGGTTCTCTTTGGCATTGAAAAAGTATTTTCATTTTTTTTAATTTCTTGTTCATATTTTTTAGGTTTGTGTAAGTAAAACAGAAGTCCATTTAAATTCTTATTACGACGTTGTGTAAACCTCTCACAAAGTGCCGCGGCTAAATCAATGCTCAAAAGTGATGATTGCTTTTGTAATTTATCTAACATAAATTTAAAAGTTATTTCCGCAGTGACAAGGTTCGATTCTCTCCTGCATAATAGTTCAAGACCAAGTTTTAGTGGTGCCAGACAAATAATTAAGTCATTAATTTGGGACCATTCTTCTTGGGTCAAACGAATTTCTGACCCAACATCAATTAAGGCTTTTTCAATACACACTTTTAGTTTATGAAATCTTTCTAACATATCGAACATACTGTTCCACCTAGTTTTACAATCAAGAATCAACTTAAGCTTTTTGCCGTGTTCATGTAGGATATACTTCTGTAAATATGTATCATTTTTGGCAGGAGAGTTTTTAAATATTTTCACAACCTTTCTCACTTTTTTCATGAGATCTTTGTAATTGCTAACCAATTCAGCAGATGGTCGGTCCAAAATTATTGTCAAACCATATTCTTTATTTATAACTTCATCATCATCAGTGTTCTCATGTTCATCTTCTTCTTCGCAACTTTCAATTGTAGTAAACGATTCTTCGACTACTCCGTTGATTTTCTTGTATAAGATATCAATATCTTGTATAAGATATCTGCAAGTTGTATTCCATGAGCATAACATAGTTGATGATAACAAGACATCATTTTACCGACTTTCACCATCACACTTGCTCCATCAGTGGTCATGGCGATAATGTCTTTTTGGAGGTCGATATTGAAGCTATTTAGCCTTCCTGCAACTAACTTGACGCAATATTCTGCATTAAACGATCCATGGATTCGAATCAATCCAAGATTAAAGTGTTTTGCCTCCATATGTACATTTAAGTTAAGGTATCTCTGACTATTTTGTGATGTCCATTCGTCAAACGTTATTGAAAACTTTTGATTTTTCTTTTTTAGTGATATACATTTTTGCATTATATCGGCTTTTACAGAATCTGAGAATTTTACTACCATCGATCTTATAGTATTAGATGAAGTAGGGAGCCGGAAACCACTCTTTGAAAACAAATACCGCAAATCTGAAGATGTGCAAAAACTATTAAATGTAAAGCCATCTTTAGAAACCATGCGCGATACCATTTTTTCCATAGAAAGTTCTTTTACGAAAAACGTGTCTATTGTTTTGACCTTTTTTGATAGAATTACCTCTTCGTCTTCGCAGTCGATGTATATTTTAGACTCTAGTTCAACTGATTCATGCTGTTTTGAAGTTGTAGCTCCATCTTGTTGTAAAACGTTTAGTTTAAATCAGTTCCATGTTTAGTTTTTAAATGGATTAATAACCCTTTTGTTGATCTTTGACTAATTTTTAAAATAGCCGAACATAACATGCAATTCGCATTTTCTCCTTTATTACTTTTTTTAAAATAATTCCATTTAATTTTAATTTGCGACATGCTTAGTAGGTACTTTTTTTTTTTTTTTTTTTTTTATTAATCACGTTTTCAATTTAACGTTTTCAACATACTCATCAACAAAAATTTCAATATACTCATTAGCAAAAATTTCAACATAGTCATTAACAAAACAAAAAAATTTTGAACGAGTTTCTTAGTATACATTTTATTGTGCATTTAATGACTAGTAAACTTTTAAATGAATTTGTTATGCAAATACATTAAATACTTTAATTTGATATCTTTTTCATCTTTGTTTATAGAATTGCTTTTTTTTATTTAAAAGCAATAATGTTAAACTCAGCAAATCCTGCGGATCCCGCAGTAGTTTTTGCGGGATCTCGCATGCGCTAAAATAATGTGGGATCCCGCAATGCGGGATTGCAATCCCTAGTTTTGACATCTCTATATCAGAAATGCACTAGTTTTTGGACACAAGGATTTTGTGCGTTTAATCTTGTAGGTTGTTTGTATTTTTACCCCGGTTTGAATTTGCTTGAGTAAAAAATATTATTTTTGCAAGTTTAAGTCTAACATATTAGACTTAGTAAATCAAGTTTTTAATTGTCTTACCTAATTTTTAAATTTGAAAGTTTTTTAAAAATTAGGTAACGAAACTTACGTCTTAAAGGATGATTAAAATGAAAATATGAAATTAGACTAAGTATCATTATTTTTATCGCGTATAAAATTACAATTTTCTTTTCAAATTAAATCTTTTCTAAAAAACATATTAACTTTTTTTAGAAGTTAGAAGTTAGTTGCATGTTAGTTGCATGCCTAAATCTTTCAACTACCAAAAATACACAACCTCGACCGAAGTTAAGTTATCCAGCGACTCATTTATGAATCATAAATGAGTCATAAATTATGATCATCATAAATTATGATGATCATAAGTGAATAAATTTTTTATACACTGAAGGTTTTACTTATCAAGTAGTATCAAAATCTTTAAAAGAAGAAACCGGATCATATTTCGAATAAAGAAACCAGTTCATATTTCGTAAGAAGAAACCGGATCATATTTCGAATAAAGAAACCAGTTCATATTTCGTAAGAAGAAACCGGATCATATTTCGAATAAAGAATCCAGTTCATATTTTGTAAGAAGAAACTGAATCATATTTTGATTAAAGAAATCAGTTCATATTTCGGAAGAAGAAACCGGATCATATTTCGAAATCCTATATTAGATGAATTTTTGAAAACCTGAGCAATTAAAAAAACAGCTTTTTTTAAACACGTGTAACTAATTTTTTTTAATAAAAAAATTGTATACAGGTAACAATTATTTAATTGCTTAAGTGTAAAAACAAAATATTTGTGAGCTTATTTCAAAAAAAAAAAAAAAAAAAAAAAAAAAAAAAAAAAAAAAATTTGTCTTCGAAAGATAGAAAAACTTTTATAGTAAAATATATTACTGTATTAATGTTCTACTAAACACGGACAAGGTTGCCGCAATATTTAACAAAACTTTATCTGACTTTTTTTATTCAAAACTTCAACTTACCTAATTTTTCTATCACAAAATTTAAAACTTGTAATTACAATTATGTAAAAACAATTAAATTATACAAAAAATATTCAAAATATTTTTTGAAAATATATAAAAAAAACGTAACTTTCGTAAAAGATTAGATAACATCACGTTGAAAACTGCAGCAACGCAACTCGAACTCTAAACAAAGAAATAAAACAATTTTAAACTTATAAAAAATTTAATTTCAAAACGCGGTATTTTTTATGTACTTAAATAAAAAACGTAACATTTAACTATGTAAAAACTCACTATTCATAAATAAAATAAAAATTATTAAAAAAGTGCATTTTCATAGGCAAATTAATTTTCATAATTAATCAATCAATTCATATATTCTGAAATAGTTGTTACATTCACGGAAGTTTACAAATAGTACATGTACTAATCTTAAGTGAAAACCTTGCAAACAAATGCTAATAAATATATTATTAATGCTAATAGTAATATTAATCGTCACCAGCAGTAACAAAACGAACATTAAAAGTTGAAGGAGTAAAAATACTAATAATGATAGTAATAAAAGTGGTAGTAGTAACAATAATAACAATGTAATGATAAAAGTAAAATGATAATAATAAAAGTAAAATGTCAAAATAAAAATAATAGTAATTTAGTATTAATCACACACATACACAAATATACAGACACATACAAATACAAGCATACAGACATACGCACTCACGCTCGTAAATACATATATCCCCCTGTATTCAATACAGGTATGTATACAGTAATTGTATACATACATAATACATACACATATATGTAGTTCATATATACTATACACAAATATACGTATATACACACAGGTACGTATACATACACACATACATAAACACATACAAACATAAATACATGTACACACATTTAATATTATATATGTGTATTATATATGTATATATTATACACACACATATATGAGCATACACACACACACACACACACACACACACACACACACACACACACACACACACACACACATACAGACATACACATCAGACATCCATGCATATACACACTCACACTTATTCACATGCGCTTATCACAAACACTTATCTTTGGATTTGGATACACAGATCTTTGGATTTATTACTCTTTGGATTTATTACTTATTACTATATGGACTTGGATACACAGATCTTTGGATTTATTAACTGTATTTGATTAGGAAGGAATGAAATAGGTTACTCTTAAAAACATAGATTGAATGGAGAGCTTTTAGGTCATAAGGAAGGTTATTCCAAGATTTCATACTTTGGTTTTTGAGTTTTTGTTACTGAGAATTTCAAGTTTTGAAGTTATGAATTTCAACTACCTTAAAGCAGACTGGGACTCTTTCCGTAATTTTCTTCGTGATGGCCCCTGGTTAGAGATCTTTCGTCTTCCTATTGACAAATGTGCTTCTTACATAACTTCGTAAATTCAGGGTGGCATGGAATCCTTTATTCCCTCTCGACGATTCCAGGTCAAGCTTCACTTTTCTCCATGGTTTTCCTCGCACTGTGCTGCTGCAATTGCCAATCGAAACCATTACTTCCATATATATCAGCAAAACAATTCTCCAGAAAACAGACGTCTGTTTATTACTGCTAGGAAGCATTGTAAAAAGGTTTTGTCTAACGCCAAAGCCCGCTATTCTCAGATCATGAAATCTCGTATTTCATCACAAAAGTTAGGCTCTCGTGACTTCTGGAGAATCTTTAATAGTATCAATAATAATGGCAAGTCTGTAATTCCACTTTTTTTGTATGATTCAGACTTTGTCAACTCACCTAAAGACAAAGCTGAATTGTTTGCTAAGAACTTTTCATCAATATCATCTCTTGACTCCACTAGTTGTGTTCTACCTGATATAGCCGTCAAACAGGTTGATCCATTGCTCGACATCCATATCACTCCAGCTTCTGTATCTAAAGTGATTTCCTGTTTAGACTCTTCTACAGCTTGCGGCCCGGACAACATACCTGTTATAGTCTTGCAGAAGTGTTCTCCGGAGCTGTCGTCTATCCTTTCAAAACTATTTAACAAGTGCTTATCAGAGTCTTGTTTTCCAGCCTGCTGGAAAGCAGCATCTGTTATCCCTATTTTTAAAAATTCTGGAGAGCGATCCGATTCATTTAACTACCATCCCATTAGTCTTCTTCCTATCATAAGCAAGGTTTTTGAATCTTTAATTAACAAACACTTAATCTCTCATTTTGATTCTTATAACCTACTTTCTGATCATCAATATGGATTTCGATCTTCTCATTCTACGGCTGATTTGGTAACAGTAATAACCGATAGGTTTTATCGCGCATTAGATAAAGGTGGAGAGGTTAAGAACATTGCTCTTGACATTTCTAAAGCGTTTGATAAAGTTTGGCATGCTGGTCTTCTCCATAAGCTTTCTTCTTACGGTGTATCTGGAAACATATCAAGGATTATTGAATCCTTTCTTTCCAATCGTAGTATAAAAGTTGTCCTTGATGGACAGCACTCTTCTTTTTATTCTGTAACCTCAGGGGTTCCTCAAGGTTCAATCCTCGGCCCTACACTCTTTTTAATATACATTAAAGATTTTCCAGATATTCTCACATCTAAGGTGGCATTGTTCACTGATGATACTACCATTTATTCTTGCCACGATAAGAAGTCAACTCCCTGCAGGGGGCATTTGAGCTTGAAAAAGATCTCACTTCTGTTACACCATGGGGCTCACAGTGGCTGGTGAACTTTAATTCAGATAAAACTCAATTTTTTTCAGCCAATCGTTATCGCAATAATTTAGACCTTCCTATATTTATGAACGGTAATGTACTCGATGAGTCATCTACCCTCCATCTTCTAGGATTAACTCTCACTTCTGATCTTTCTTGAAAACCTTATATCAAATCCGTTGCAAAATTAGCATCTGCTAAAGTTGCATCTTTTTATCGAGGTCGACACTTTCTTACTCTGGATTCTATTCTCTATCTCTATAAATCTCAAATCCAACCTTGTATGGAATACTGTTGCCATATCTGGGGCAGATCTTCTAATGATGCCCTTTCTCTTTTTAGACAAGGTGCAAAAACGCATTGTAAACATAGTTGGACCTGGTCTTGCAGCCAACCTCCAACCATTACCACATCATCGTAATGTTGCTTCTCTTTCTCTTTTCTACAAATACTATAATGGGCACTGCTCTAAAGAGCTAGCATCTCTTGTGCCATCTACAAAAGGTCATTCTCGTGTTACTTGTCATTCAATTAAGTCTGATCCTTTTTCTGTTACTGTTCCTAAGTGCTCCAAAAACTCTTATTCATCTAGTTTTTTTCCTCGAACATCAGTTCTTTGGAATTCGCTTTCTTCATCTTGCTTTCCTGATTCATATAATTTGCAATCTTTTAAGTCGTCTGTCAATCGTTATCTTGCTCTACAATCTTCATCTTTTCTCTTCCAGTAACTTCCAACACTAGTTAGTGGTTGCTTGCAGCCTTGTTGGAAGCGAAGATATTAAAAAAAAAAAAAAAAAACGTGATCATACGCAAATAAGTTTCTAATTAAATATTTAAACGGCACATAAACACAAAATTGCTCATACCACCAGTGATGGATCCAGGAATTTTTGGTGAGGGTGGGTGGTGTGGGAATTGTAAAAATATCTTTGTATTTTGTATCATATTTGCGTATACTAAAAAAAAAAAAGAAAGGCACTCTATTTCTGAGATATTTTAGAATTTTCAGATTCTGGTGGGGAAAAAGGGGAGGTGGGGGGGGGGGGGGAATGCATACCCCCACTTCTTAGATCCGTCACTGCATACCACATTTAAAAATAAACTCTTTACTTGTCATAACATACGTAATATTGTTAATAATAATATGGCTACTTATTAGCTTGTAGAACTCAAATGAAAAGTAGTCCAATTAGTAAAGTTAATTATTTAAACATCTGAATCAAATCATCACGCTCACATCTATTTCTCAAACTCATTAAATATAACACTTATACTCAGTATTTTTGTAAATATTTCTAATTTTTGGGTCAAAATTTGTCATACAATGAACAATACATACTCTAATACTTTACATCACAAACCAAACAGAAGAGTAATGTATGTTTGGGCATAAAAATACCGCGTCGCTCAATCACTTAGTTGTCAAAATAATTAAACACCAATGTAAGATAATTGCATTCCGATGTTTGTAAAAGCTAATGATCAATTAAGGTCATCAAAATTAATCAAAATTTTAAAATCTTTTATGTCTCCCTTTTAACAGTGCTATCTGCACAATTGCATGTACTAAAAAGGGTTTTAATTCAAAGAAGATTTTACATAATAATTATTATGCAATAATTTTAAAATGAACTACAATCAGATCTCGGATCTGATGATAGATTTTTACTACCTAATTTGTCTCTGATATCAACTTTTTAGATTTTTCTTTTGTTATGTGAGTACTCACACAGTAAAAAAAACTTACTGATTTCAGACCTCTTGTGCCTAGCTATGTTAATAATGATCTTACCTATCAATTAAACTTGTGTTTGTTGAGTTAAGAAGATCTTTAAGTTGTTTTTCAGCACCAAGTTCTCGAAGTTTGTTTTGGCGAAAAACAGATCTATCGTTTGTATTCCTTGTCAAATTGGTTATGCAAAATATACTTGCAACTTGCAGTTGCTCACTTTCAGAACTTAGATGATTGATTACTTTAGCTAACAGTAAGTCTTCATTCATGAGAATTTCTTTTGAGTATGAACCATTTGCAATATTTGAAAGCAAACATAATACCTTGAAAAAATATAAATCAAACATAAATCAAATAAATTACCACAACTAACACAAAACAATATTTAACACAGTATTTAAGAAAGTATTTTAAAAGAGTAAAATAAGTTACAATTATAATCAAGATTAGATATTTAGATAAAATCATTGAAGTGAATCAGAAGAGAATCAGAATTAGGAGCTGTTGAAGAACTTAAATCAACTAAAAATCTGGCTAATAAAAATAATTAAAAAAAAAAAAAAAAAAACTATTTTTTGTACTTGTTTTAGTATTCTTTTTATTATAGTGATAAAGATGAATATTTGTCACATCAAAGTTTTGGTAACTATTATACAGAAAAATAAATTTATGCTGAACTATATGCAGAACTAAAGTAGTTAAATTAGATAAGAAAGAAAAAATCAATAAAAAGACAACAAAATGAAACAGTATTTAATAATTTCTCCCAAATTTTCTTTCTTCCCTCATAACTTTCCAACCTATATATATATATAGAATACCTTAAACCAAAGTAAGTGCCAAACTAAATATAGAAAGTTTGATGTGGTAAGGCTAAGTAAATGGCGTTGCAGTAGTGTAAGTAAATTAAACTCCATAATAACTTGCTTTAGTATTACATGGTATGGTAGTATTGCATTAAACCTGTTTCTATCTAAGTGATCTTGTCTATTAATATATATGTTTTAGAGCTATACTGTTAAAAAATGGAAGAACAATGGAACAGTGCATAAAGAATTGTGGTTTGAATATTGTGAAAAACTAGTTGCAGCTCTTGGAAATAGCATAAAATTAAAATTTTGTGCCAATCTGATGCTGATCAAAAAAGGTTGAATTTAGCAATCGATTGCCAAAAATTTGGTTGGCATCAAAATTTTCAAACACAAACGTCTCATAATGACAACATAAAATCTAGGCCGGCAAAAAATCACCAACCTCAGATACTTTCAGGTTAGCAGTTGCCAAGATTTACTTGAAATTCTGAATAAACAACTTACAAAGAATGGAAAAAAAATTGACATTGATGTGATTATCAAGCTTGTGGACTCAATACCTTGTTGCTGAAGCAGTAGTCAATTCAAAGAACTTCTGAAGCATGAATTCTACTTCCAATTAAAACATTTTCAATTAAAAAAATGTTAAATTTTTTTTTTTTACTTTGGTTTTTTCATTTCGCTTTTTCAATACTTTTGCACGTGTATATTTCAATAAAATGAACTTTTTAGATTAGATTACTAAGATCTAGTAAAAACTTCTTTTTCCATTTGAAATCAATATTTTTGACATTCCAGTGAAAATTTGAAAGAAACTGGACTTTTCCTTTAAAACTTAAGTTGATTTATGATCTTGCCTGCAGTTATTTTTGCACGCTTATATATATATATATATATATATATATATATATATATATATATATATATATATATATATATATATATATATATATATATATATATATATATATATATATAATACTTTATTATATATATATATATATATATATATATATATATATATATATATATATATACATATATACACACACATATATATATACACACATATAGACATATATAATTAATGATTATGAACAAGTACACAAAACTATACAGGTTATTTTATTAAATACTATAACCAACTAAGCTATCGGCCATTATCAAAACATTATAAACACAACACATAGAGATGTTTATTACATAGATTATCCTGGCCATATTATAAAAATCCGGAAATTTTTTTTCTTAAATATCCGGAAAAAATCCGGAAATTTTTTTTGTAATATCCGGAAAAAATCCGAAATTTACAAAGAGATTTTAAAAAGGAAGTGGACGTGCTCTTCTCCATTCTTTTATATTACTATAATATTACGCCAGTTTAAGAGTATTCTTATTCACCGTATATATGAATAAAAAACTACATAGTTTTTTCATCAAAAAAAGAATAATAATAATGATAAAATTTTAACAATAATAATAATAATAAGAAGATAAAGTCAAAGAAGAAGTAGTAAACTATATTTAAAAGCTGTTAGGCAATGCGGAAACTTTTTTAGACATGCACTTATACATTTAAATACATAATAGATAATGAAATATTGCTTCAATTCACTAAAGGTATACAAATAGATAAACGTTTAACGCGTTGTTGGTGCCATCATAACTGAAATCCCATGGGCGTTATTTGAGCGTTTTGGTTTTTTGGTAGTAATTTTACAAAATAAACCGACATATATCTGAGACTTTTGCTTGCCAACTTCTTTCAGTAAATATTTTATTACCTGTAATACACAAACTTTTGGAACATATAAATGAATTTTATTTTAACTATTTTCGGAGCATACTTCAATTGCAGTAAAAAGAAAGGAACTAATAATAATAATAAACACCAGACTTCTAAAATACAAAAAATTGGAAATCTTTAGTAATAAATATGTTAAAAAAGAAAATAAATAAATAAAAAGTAAAAAGATATTGAATTATTTTTCTCTAATCAGTTAGTTTTCTACAATTAGTTCTTCAACTCAGTGTTTAAAATGTTTTAAACTTAATTTACAATACTAAGTCTTCTTTTATAAAAAAATCTCCACGTTCAAAAACTAAAAAAGTTTAAACGTTCGTTAGATATAGTTTAAATTTTAAGTTTATTTTAACTATGATAAACAAAAGGTGAGGCATTATTAATGATTCACGTGCTCATTCATGTGATTCAAAATTTAAAAGATTTAAAAAAATCAATTTTTTAAAATCTTTTAAATTAAAAAAAAAAACATATTTTTAAATCTTTTTAAAAAAATGATTTTTTTTAAGAAAATATAATTAATTTTATCAGGCCCTTTTTGAATTGAAAAGAAAACGTGCCTTAAAAAGCGATGTTTTTAAAAACCTAGTAATGGCATTTAAAAGCAATTTGATTAACTTGACATTTAGTCAAAGTACATATGTTAAGATTTCTTTAAAATAATTACATAGAATGAAACCTTATAGTTTAGAATATAGTTTTATTATATAACACTTATTTGTATGAAATAACTTATTACTAACAAAGTAATTAATCTTAGTCAGTAATAATAAGTTTTTTTTATAAGTTTTTTTCACCCTTTACGAAAACAAGAAAACCGCACGACCATAATGTTACACCACGGTATTATAGTAACTGTAAGATTAATAGAAGTTTCTACTAGTTGAAAGTCATACCAAATTTCTTATTCTTAGATCAAACTATTTGTTTCACTGCTCTCTAGAGTTAGATTTTAGTAATCTCAAAAGAGTTTAAATTTAACGATATTTCTCATATTTGACGGAAATTAAAAACTGATTTCTCTCATAGCTTTTGTAACAGAATTTTTATTTACGAGTACCGTTTATTCTACCATCGTCATAACTTTTTAAATACCACCGTCAAAACTTTTTAAAGTCTCCAATTAATAAGAAATTATGCGAAAAAATGATACTTTCTAGAAGTGTGTACGAAAAGAGACTTGTAATGGTACGACTGGACAGAAAACGAAATAATGATGCAGTAAATTTTGAACCACCGACAAAACAACTGAAAAAAGTTTCAGTCCATAAGCGAAGTGGTTTACTTAAAAAAAAAAAGTTTTTAACAATAAAAAAAGAAATCTCTTTGCTAATAGCTAAAAGAGCTCCCGTAAGATTGGGTGGCTTTGGCCCATTTTGTATCTTAATGTCTATTGCATGAAAGCCACAAAAGTTATTTCCTCAAACACAAAGTACTTTTAAAAGTGCATAGAAAGAACATTTAGAACTATCTGTCTCCCATTTGAAAACTATTTACCTGAAGTATTTTTTGGGTGGTTTAAATGGTGGGCCAAAGTCGCCCTATGTGTTATGGTGACTTTGGCACAACCCTGTAAAAAGGAACTAAAAGAAGCAAAACAACAATAAAAACAGCAATATTTAGGCAAAGAAAATTAATTTACAAAAATAAAGTGTTAAAAAAAGATTTCGTAACAAAGTTCTTGTGTACAGTAAATAAAATATAGGTACAAACTAAACAAGTATAGGTACCAAGTAATCAAAACAGTTTAGGTATAAAGTAAACAAAAATGACAAAATTAATGTTTTAAAAAATTTACTGAAAAAGTTCTAGAACTGAATAAATTCCTCTTTTCAAAAATTTCTTTGGTTCCTCAATAAAATCGACTATTTCAGACTGGGGAAAAAAAAGTTGCTCTGCTGGTAGTGATCATTTCCAGTTAAGTCCATTTTCTTTCATAATAGTAATTTCTGCTCTATTTTTTCTTAATTTTTTCAACTCCAGAAAAAATATTTTCTAAAGTTTTTTTTAAATTTTTCAGTAGTTTCATTAAATAATATTAGTTATTAAATTAATTAGTTATAAAGTTTACTAATTGATTAGCTAAATATAAATAACTCAAAATAAATAAACAAACCTGTCCAGGATTTAACTCTCCATTGCATTTAACAATTACATAACAATTCTCTACAAGGTTTAATAATTTCTCCTTTTTACAAACATTTTTTGTTTTATCAATCTTTTAAAAGTTCTTTTTGCCTAATGCTGAATGATCTAAAGATTCTGTATGACTTTCTACAACTAAACTTACATCTGCAAAAATTAGATTAGAACTCTCAGTAGTTCCAGTATTTGTACTTGGGCCAGCAAATTCAATGTTGTTGGTCTCAATTGTATTTATAATACTGATAGGTGTATCTACATTATTTGAATGTAATCTATTATTTTCATTTATAACACACGATGATATATCTGTTGAACATAAGCTTTTATCTGGGACAGCACATACTTTACGTCGCTTTGGTTTTTTAGAACCATCTGAGGGATCATTCAGTGACTTACATAAGTGATCTAAAAATAATTAGCTTACTAAATCAGTAGTTAAGTCTAAACCTACATTACAACATGGTAGTCATGAAAGCACTTGAGACTTGTCTAATGGAAAAATTCCAGTTTTGCTAAAACCAGCTCTAAGGTTATCATTCCCATGTTCATTTAAGTTGGTAATTAAACGGTCTAAAAGTCTAGGAAATTCATCTTTAGGAAGAGAAGCAACTCGCCTTTCTTTTCCTTTCTCCTTCCATTCACATAATATTTTGCGCCAGTTAATCTTCATAGGTCTAAAGTAGGTAACATCTAGAGGCTGCGTGAGATGTGTAGAGTTTGCTGTTAATGCCACAAATCCTATGTTATTGCTTTGACATGCATCCAGTACTGCAATGCTCAAATGTAAAGATACGTTATCACCTATAATGACACTTCTTCCTTGAGCCTTGGTTTTGGAAGAAGTAAGTCTTGAAGTAAGAAGAAAGTCTTGGAAGAAGTAAAGAGAAAAACCAGTCCTCAAAACATGTTAAGTCAAACCAACCACTTTTTGATCTATTATAACGTGTCCATGTTCTATCCATGTATTCCATAACCACTCAACTATGTAAACAACATAAGGTGGTATCACCATTAGCATTGCATCAAAACATTACAGAGAATGAGGTCTTTGTCAAATTAATGATGCGTTCAGGAGCTTAGTTAATTTTTTTTTTTTACCTGGATCATCACTGAGATTGGTTTTATCATAATTCCATATATTATCAGGTGATATATTACTTATTTCATTTGATAGATTTATAAAGTAGTTATCAATGCATATGCCTTAAACATGCCTTCTTCTTTTGATGTAAATATTTGCTGACCACCATACTTTTTAGGATATGTCTGTTTTATTTTATTTTTTAATGTTGATCTTGGTATATCATATTTCAAAGATGCTTGTCTTTGAATAATTAAACCATCCTTTAAATCTTTTAATGCATTGTCTCACTGTTCGAAAGTAACATATTTTCTTCTTCCACGATTTGGCTTGTAATTTTGCGGGATATCTAAACTAAGAACTAAACAAATTTCACTATAATTTTACACTGATTTACTAATACAAACTGTTAAACTGATTTTCTATTGCATTACTACAACAAAATTTTTCATTCCAACATAGTAACTACCATAATATCAATAAATGATCACTAAAAAACGTTTACTCTAATACATGGGGTGACTTTAGCCCGGGCCAATGTCACTTTATGTACTACATAGTGTGACATTGGCCCGGGCCATTGGCCCACTACATAATGTAGTGGGCTAAAGACAACCTATTTTTTTTTTTACTTAAATTACAAAAAAGTAATAAACTGTTAAACTTTCAAAACAAGATAGAATCAAACACTACTGGTTTAAAATTAATTCAGTGTATATTCCAATAAAAAAATCTTCTACAGGTACTGCTATCGATGTAAAAGTTTACACACCTAAAAAAATTCGGATTTTAGGTGCTTCTTCTAAAGTGCAATTTACAATAATATCACAAAGACTCGAGTTAAGTAAACTAAGTTAGACTAAATAAATAAAAAATTTCCCACAATTTGCTACTAAACATCAACCAACATACCTTGAGGTATCGATTTTAAACCATTTTTAAACAAAAATTTCGCTTGGGCTAAAGTCATCCCGTAGGGCCAAAGCCACCCAATCTTACGGTATTTAAAAAATGTAAATTTACAATATTTTTAAAAAAGAGAAGAGTTTGACACGCATCGCTAATTTTATTTTAAAAGTAGGAGATCATTCGCTCTTTTGCTCTGGGATTTTTCTTAAACTTTAATAAAAATGCTTATTAATTTTTGGTGTACTCTGCGAGGGAAATCTTTTAATATTTTTGGCTTTGTTTGTTAACTAAATATAGCGTTCCGTAATTTATAGACAACAAATTTACTGTTTATATACACTTGTTACTGTTTCATTTGATGACAGTAATAAACAGAAAAAATTTTATATATTGTATTTTCGAAAATTATTTAATTATCCGGAAAATTTAAAAAATATCCGGAATTCCGGAAATATCCGGAAAAAGATAATTCCTGTTATTATGTGAATTAATTTTTAAGAACTATAGAAAACATAATTTTTTCTACTCAAATAAACTTTGCAAATTTATATAAAAATTTACCTGTTCTCTTAAGTCCACGGAGAGATTTTCGGTGACAACTAAAGGTCGAATTGAATTTATTATTTCTTGTCCATAAACACTCATAAGTGCATCTATTTCCTTTTCCCCTCCAGTAAGAATGTTCCTTAGAGCACCAAGTGCTTTTACAGCAACCTCAACATGACTATCATTAAGTAATCTAAAAATAAATTTATCATTTTATTTTTTAATACATTAGAAAAAGTTATGCATAAGCTATTATTTCATGAGTGCTGTATATTATTTAAAGAAAATCAGGTTGCAATATATATTTTTTTAAAAACCTTAATATGTTTGAAGATATAATTACCTAAAGAAATTATTATTACCTATTAATTACTTAAAGAAACATTTGCAAAACAAGAGTGTTGCAAATGTTTCTTTAGGTAAGCAACATCAGCAAATATAAGAGTTCATTTTGGATTTGCTGATAATTTTAAATATAAATATCTTATGATTTAAACAATCATTTATATATAGTATATATTATCAAAATATTATAACATCAAAATATTATACACAAAGTTATAAAACTGGGTATCACAGTTTACTATTAATACTATTAAAACCATAATTTAATATCCATCATATTTTCTCATTAAACAAAAAACATTTAATAAATAGTATCAAACTGGTAGTAACAAACTTTACATTATCAAAGTTTAAAAAAATTGAAGCATTTTTCACCATTTGAAAAAAAGATAAAAATTATAGCATTTTTCATCGTTTGATTAAAATTAGAAAATTTACACTTTTGTTAAGACTACATATTTAATATTATTACAAAATTAAAAAAACAAATTTTTAAGAATGGACTTATATTTTACTTTTAAAAAAACTGGATTAGATTATTTTTTTTTAATGCTGAATGATAAGAAATAAAAAAATTACTAATTAATGATAATTAATGAAAAAAGGTCTGCTATAAAAAAATTTATTATGTTATTACTGTTATGTTGTTTTAGTTGGAATTTTTTCTATAAATATTTTATGTTGGTTTAGTTTCATTTATTTCAATATTAAATACACTCCCAGTGGATTTAAATTATGCATTAGAGTTGTTATAGCTTATTGCAAGTTTATAATAATAAAAAAAAAACAATGCAGCTGAAGTAATTCTTACTGATAACGACATTATAATTTTTACAAAATTGTCTTTAGTTTTATTTTTTACCATGAACCAGGCAAAAACATTAGTTTTTAACTAATGACTAAATTAAAAGTCATTTAATAAACTTGAACAAGAAGATTTTAACTTTAATAAATTTATAACTTCTACATACAATTCTTAAATAATTAGCAACACATTCTCCTTTTCAATTGTAAATATTAAATCATACACAATTCTAAAAATCAAACAAGCTAGGAATAAAAAGTTACTTCTAAAAAACCAAACTGATCAAAACAAACAAGTGTAATCAAAGTTTCAGATATAAAAATCTGAATTTCAATTATCCCTAGATATGACAATCACAGTGTGACAATCACAAAAAAATTTGAACAAATAAACTCTAGTTTTTTATTAGCAAATAATTGTTTCTTACACAAAAAGAAGCAAAGATATTAAGGTAAAAGATGTTTAAAAAACAAACAATTTTAAGTTTTCAAAATATCATCAAACAAAAAGCCAACTAGGTATAAGTAACTATTTTTTTTATAGTAACAACCACAACATTACTATATAAATTTCTTGCCTGCACTTAAAATATGATTTATTTGTTGTAGTTTTTTAATAAAAAAATCCAAAAGCCTAAGTACACACATTTTTATAAAAATTCAACTTTAAACTACCAAAAGCAATGAGTGTTAAAATTCTACATGTCTCAAATTCATTCATTCAAAGAAGCTAGAGCATTCATTCATTTCACAAACAATTTTAACGAGAAAAATTCTTTTTTCCTAATAAACTATTGAATAGTTAAAATATTATCCTTTTAAATCTTAAAGGATTTTAAAGATTTTAAAAGATAATATAAAATTGCTAGCGATACTGATCTGATATATTTTATTAGCCAATCAATACAGAAACAAATGTTTAGTGTCTCCACTCTACCATGTCACTTGCATTATCTACCAAAGTTCTCACAAAAACTTACTTTAATATATTCGATATGCCAACGTAATCAACAATTTTCTTTTTCAAAACTTCGTTTGTCTCAGAAGCCAAATTCTAGAAAAGAAGGATACTTCTTTCATCACGCTTGAAAAATAAACCTGAGTGCAGCATAAATAATTAAAGCATACCATAAGACCCCAAACACCATTCACACGCAGTGGTGGTTCATTTCTTTTTATTAAAGCAAGCAAAACTTCTAAAGCACCATACTCAACAAGAACCTTAAAAAACACAATATTAGGTAAATTAAATGTTACAATTGATATCGTTGATGTCATTGATTGTGTACACATCACGTTTATATAGTTGATGTCATTTATTGTGTACAACCATCATGTTTCTATTGCACATTCGAGATTAATTCTTTTAGTTTAAATATTCAAAAAAAAAATCTCAAATATTTAAAAAAAAAAAGAGTAATTAAAACAAAAAAATATATATTAGGAGTTATATTAAAGATAATTGTCTCCAGAGATCTAGAGCTTATTAAAAATAAACAACAAACAAATTTTGCTGCAAGACATAACTTTATATTTTTAGAAAGGTCATTTTTATATAAAAAAAAATAAACTTTTAAAATTTTGATGATTTTTAACATAGGGTGCTTAAGAAGAAAATATTTGCTTTTCTAAAAATTATGTTGAAATATTTGGGTACTAATTTAGTTCTATTTTAGAATTTATATAGCTCATAAGATTTTTATGATTATACATAGTAATTTGTTAGATAACTATTACAAACAATACAAACAATTTGTTAACAAATTGTTAATACAAACAATTTGTTAACAAATTTTTTATCATAGCTTTGTTAAAAACTTATATATATATATATATATATATATATATATATATATATATATATATATATATATATATATATATATATATATATATATATATATATATATATATATATATATATATATATATATATATATATATATATATATATATATATAAGTTTTTAACAAAGCTATGATAAAAAATTTGTTAACAAATTGTTTGTATTAACAATTTGTTAACAAATTGTTTGTATTATTTTTGTGGTATTGAGATAATTGACTTTTTTCGCCACACCAACATGTCTCGTATATTTGAAAAAATTATTGTTTCTTAATGTATATATACATAAAGTATATTATATAATGTTAAAAAATAAAATATTATTTAATAGAAAAATTTATTTTTTTTGTCAATAAGTTTGCATTTATTTTCAAAATACTGTATATCCAATTAAAGCTTGTTAGCAAAATGCGGTATATCCATTTTATAAAGATGTTATGGAAAGTTTTTAAACTTTTAAAGACCTGAATAAGTTTTAATGATTAATTTTATTTAACATATTGAACAAATATCTGTATTTAATGTTTGGTCATTATATTTTATTGATAATGTGAATGTAAACAATGTTTTATTAAAGTAATGTAAACTATTACATTTCACAATTCGCAACTGTAAATTTATATTAGTTTCGGAGAGTTAAATATGGACAATAAACAATAATATTTTTTTTAGTGTTGTGTAGTTGTAACAATGATGATCACTATTTTTAAGTCTCCATAGAACTAATGGACAATTAATATAACATAAAAGTCATCGTTTTATTTTTGAACGAAATAAAATTTTAAAAATGAAAGACTGCAATAGCCTCATTTTATTTGCAACAAAGCAATTGTCGGTTTAACAAAAAATAAAAAGGAAGTATTATTATTGAATGCTTTCCATTAAAAAACAGGTAACAATATGTTTAAACTTATTAATTTAAGTTGCCTTTTTAATATATTATCTATCATTATTCCATAATTCGTTATGGAATAATCATAGAAAATATATTAAAAATGCAACTTAAAACAAACAAAGCATGGTAGTTTAAACGAACACTAGAATTAAGAAATGCTTTTTTTTCTTTTGTTTCATACATCATATCTTTTTTTCTATGTGAAATAGGATATTAGGTAATGCATTAATCTTGTCCATCGCAATCCGCCATTTCTTTAACGCAACTTTAAAATATTTGCGCTTGCGCAGAAGTAATATACATTTGCCACGGATTGGTCAAAATTAAATACCGCATTTTGAAAACAAATAAAAAATTTTATACCGCATTTTGAAAATAAATGTTTTTTAGAAGTAAAAAAATATTGGGTTATACTTCGTTTAGCATATATTCGGACACAATGTCTGCTAGGTCCTTATAAACTAAAAATAAACCACACAATTTCTCAAAAATTTTTAAAATGGCGTTTACCGCGTTTTGAAAATAAACTCTTCATATATATATTATGTTTTGTTTTATCTTTCTATCATTACTGTTATTTTTTTCTTTTTATATTTTAGTTCTATTACAGTAATAATTTTTGCTTATGATCCAAATCTCAATAACTGATTTTTAAAAATTGTCATATAACAAGTGTGCGTAAACTAACGCTTGTTAATTTATGTACACTTTTTAAACCTTTTAAGAACATGGATTTAAAACAAGCCAAATCAGGTATTGCTTGAAAGTAATGGATGTTGAGGTTGTATTAAAGTTAGTTTATAAGACACATAAAAGATATGAGCAAATGTAGTGATGCTAGATGACTTTATATTTATTGACTATATTAATTTATTTTTTTTCAGTTGGCGCACAAAGATTGTTTTATTTTGTTGCTGCACACTTTTGTGCACCAACTAAATAAAGTTCTGCATTTGAACGATATAAATTCAAAGCACAGAACGTGCACTGCACATACAGCCGTAAAAGTCAGTTAACAGGCTGTAACTACACCGTTAATGGAGTGTACACATCGTCCAAGTAAGATTTAGGCGTAGTTGATTTTACAATCAACATGTAGATACATCAACTAAGGGTTTTGGATTGGTCAGATACTTTTTTAATTAAAAAAAATTAAATGTTGCGTCACAAAATCGAGACTCCCCCTCCCCCTCATAAAAAATTTCCATAAAAATTGCCCCCCCCCCCCCTAAGTGTGACATAATACCCTTAAGTGAGATAATACAATTATAATCTTTTTATTAAAACTATTTTTATCAAATTTTGAAAAATTTAAATAAATTAATTTAATATTACACTTTAAGAAAAAATCTTTTTAATAACAACTTCTTTTGCTTTCAAAAAATACAGAATTTCATGAGTTTTTCAGATATAGGGACCCAGCATAAATCAAGGTCTGATGTCATGCATTCTGTGTCATATATCATCAAATTATTTCTCAGGTCTGTCCTAAGATGCAATCAGGGTCTGAAGGATAACCTTTTTTTTTATAAATAAACAAAACCAATCATTTAATAATTTTAATATCATTACTATAAAACTAAATTTTACCTTAATTTAAAAATCTTTATTATCTTACTAAATCTATTATTAACTTACTTCCAATAAATGTTAAAAATAATAATAATAATAATAAAAACATAACAATTTTAGAAAAGAAAACAAACAGTATTATCTTTTTAAGTAGAATATTGATGAAAGAAATGCAACATAATGCAATTTCTTATTTAAAAGCATACTTCCTTTTTAATAGTGTTCAGCGCATTTTTACCTAGTGTCATATAAGAGTTCCAAGTTAGGCTGTTATAAATCTTTTCAAAACATACAATTTTGCGAAATCAAGCAAAATCTGAGGAATTGACTAAATACCTTAACTGCAGTCATTTTATTAGCCTTTAACTGCAGTCATTTTATCAACCCTTAAATGCAGTCATTTTATTAATACTTAACTACAGTTATTTTATCCCTTAATGACAGTCATTTTATCAACCTTTAACTGCAGTCATTTTATCCCATAATGACAGTCATTTTAGCAACCCTTAACTGCAGTCATTTTATTAACTTTTAACTGCAGTCACTAAATCAACCTTTAACTGCAGTCATTTTATCAACCCTTAACTACAGTCATTTTATCAACCCTTAACTGCAGTCATTTTATCAACCCTTAACTGTAGTCATTATATCCTTTAACTACAGTTATTTTATCCCTTAAAGACAGTCATTTTATCAAACCTTAACTGCAGTCATTTTGTCAACCCTTAACTGCAGTCATCTTATCTGTTGTTTACATGTCAACTTGAAATATATTATTAAACATTTTTCTTTTGTGTTTTTTAACCTTGCCATATATATTATACTGCCATATAAATATTTGAAAACAAAATTACTTAATTAAAAAAAAATAAAAAACCTCTTTGCAAGGCGAAAAAACTAGAAGTAGATTACACAACACTGAAGAAGAAACACTTATTATATCATCAGAAGAACTCGATTTCAGTGCAGATATTACAGGTTCCCATAATTTAGAATCTTGAAAAGTGGTATGTAACTGTTGAACAGAGCGAGAAAGACTCAGAAGACACTGCATACCTGCTGCTTGTAGAGAAATATTGCAATCTTGATTAATAGCTTCATGAATATCCGTTATTAAATTTGTGGATGTTTCAACAATCTAGAATTTAAACTTAAAAGTTAACATATTTATTTGAAACAGTTAATATATTTAATATATAGGTTAATATATTTAATATTCTTATTAAAAGCATACTAACTTGTTTTCTAATTTTTTCATCATTTGCAGAAAGTGCAGCATAAACTTTAAATGCATTCTTAAATAAAATAAAAGCTATTAAATTAATTTAACTTTTTTTTTAAATTTGTTAATACATATTTCTTTTTTACAAATAAAAATATATTAAATACAAAATAGATACTAAATATATATCATATATATAAAATTTATACATAAATACTAACACTATACGCATATTGCATGCAAAAGAAACACCTAATACATACTAAATATATGCTTATGGAATACTTATATATAAATGTATGTGGTATATATACATATGCATGTGTGTATAAATACCATTCTTCTCTGCTTAGTCAGCATTTTCGTGCTCGCCCACAAGCTCGCAAAAACTTTAGCAAGTGCATTAAAAAGCCCTGACCATAAAACTAATAGCGTTTTGTTTTAAATTGCAACAAAACTTTTTTGTTTATTTATGCAACTTTTATGAAAATTTTCTTTTTTTACCAGTTTTTTTTAAAATTATTTTATCTAGTATTTATTCAAAGCATTTTTTTTGCTATTTTTATTTTAATTTAAATATCAGAAAAAAATGAATTTTTAAAAATGCGCTGGCTAATTAAAAAATGACCATTCTGCCAGTGCTGTTTTGTGCGCTGGCATTAAATATCAAACGGAGAAGACTGGAATACATGTATAAATATGTACATGTGGTATATATACCCATATGTATTTGTGGTATGTAATATTGCTGATGAGTAGTATCTGTGCAGGTCTAAGACTCCTGGAAACATCATTGGTGGTTGCAATGCACTTATAAGGGAATCACCTTACATACACTACTATTATACTATTTTTTGATCATCAGCACTTTATTATACTTGTTAGATCTTTGTGATATAGAAACCACAAAATATAATCATGATTTTGTACACTAAGGGGGGGGGGGGGTATTTGATATTGTGATTTAATACTATTTAGTTTTCATTTTATTAAAAAAAAAATTTTTTTAAAAAAAGAGAAAAATTTTCTTTACTAAAAAAGATTATTTTGCACAGTAAGTTCTTATAATTATTAAATAATACTAAATATATTATACATATACTATATGTGCAATATATATAACTAATTTCTTATCAAAGTATACCTCTTTTAATTTGTCAGCATTTTCTTTAGATACATCTGCATTTACTTTAAAATATAGTGCAATATTTTTGATGAGATGATTTGAAATAGAGGCTGTTTCCTGTAGAGTTATACTGTCTTCAATGAAATATGCTTCAAAAAATATTGCAAAAACCTTGATTTATTTTAATTATTCATTCAAGTTTTGCTTAGTAAATATTTTTTTATTGTTGTTTTCTTCTTTCATCAAAAATCACAAATAATAAAAAATTAAAAAAAAAAATTATTAAACTAAAATACCTAAAGAATTGGCTGCAATAATTCTAATATAATCAGGCTTTTCACTATGACACATTCTCACCAAGACTGATAAAATCTTTAAAATAAATTATACAAAATCATGAAAACAGCAGAAAATTATGGTTTTGTAAAACAAAATCTGCAAAAACCAAATAGTAACCACAAAAACAACCAAAAAATTATACAATCAAAATAAAAGCAAACATTGGACCTCTCATATTTTAAAAATGAAGAGTTTTTATATTGAAAAATAATAAAAATAAATGTAAGTACCCATAATTAAAAAAGTTGAAAAATATCAACTATTATTTTAAAATAGTTAAAAAACCAAAACATTTTAACTAAAAAAATTTTATATAACAGGTATGTTGATAAATTCTAAATATCATCGAGACTTAATTGAGAAAATATACTTGCATAAATTTTTTTGAAATAATAACACTTCTTAAATTAAAAAAACAGTTCAAAAAGGAACTAACAAACTCTTCATTTTAGATAATATTAAATCATATTAGAAGTAAAAAAAAAACACCTTTTGCTTGAGAATTTCATCAGAACTTTTTGTTGAAGCAGCACGCAATATTTTTGATAAGCTGAGTAAAAATAAAATGTACAAAAATTTATGTAAATTTATGAAAATTTATGTATAAACGTTCAAAAAAAAAATACTTATAAACAATTTAATTGTACAAGTTAGAATTAATAGCAGTAGTTATCCTAACAAAATTTCATTTCTAGGAAACTGATGGTAAAATTGACAGTAAGATATTCCAAGATAATTTTATAATATACTGGGAGCATAAAAGTAAAAGTATTTTAGTAGAGTCTACAAAAAAGAGATGTGTACGCAAAAAAGATATGTGTACGCAAAAAAGAGATGTGTACGCAAAAAAGAGATGTGTCTTTAAATTTAAATAACATTTGTTAAAAAAAAGATTTCTACTTTTACTTTTATACTCCCAGTAATTATCTTGGAATATCTTACTGTCAATTCTAAGACTAACACTTTACTGTCAAGTCCAAGATTATTTAGAAAAATATATAAAATCTAGCAACAGTGGATAGGTTTTGCATAAATACCATACTATTCATTTTGCAAAATAGCATTTTAAATTCTATTTCAATCTCACGTCTTCCTGATGATGTTGAATTTTGATTTAGCTTTTTAGCATTTAATTCCTTAATTTTCTAACTTTTTATCAGTCTTTTTCGTTTTAATGAACCTTTGTAGTGTGAATAAGACATGTTTACACTTTTGATTTTGTTATTTCCACATTGCCAACTCCACCAGTGTGGCGAATTCCATCATATACTTGTCTTTGGGCAACATTCTTTTTAGTGACACTTGTGCACGGTTAAGTTTATTTCCATTAGCTTTATAACAGATTGTACTACCTCCAATACATCTTTTTTAATAAAGTTCTGCATGAGAGATATCAATAGCTTTTCAAGTTATTGATATAAGAATGGTGCTAATGGAGAATCTGACTGAAAAAGTCTTAAGAAAGCTCTACAAATGAAACCAAATATTGAAAAAATGCAATTTCAACAGGCATCAGAAGATTATGATTCACAGCATCAGTAACAATATTTACAGTATAATTATTAGGTAGTTTAGACTGCATGACATACATTAACACATTATCATAAATATCTAGAGCTCTTTGACATACAGATACATTTTCAAACCATCTTATTGAACAAAATTTCAGAGGAAACTTATCACTTCCATAAACTGTTTGATAATCTGTCCTACGAACAGGACTATCATGAAAAAGTTTATAAAAACTTCTGAGTACTACATTAATATTCCATTTCCCCTTTTTATGACCTGCTTAAAATGCACCATTTAAAAATTGTAGGCCACATGATTCCACTTCAAGAATAGATGTTTCAAAATTTTTACCAATCATTGAGAATACCAAAAAACTTCAAATTCACATTTGGTCCATCAATAAAAATTTGTAAAATTTTGGCTTAAAGATTTTCATTTAAAACACTTGTAAAACCATTGTACAAACCATTTGCAGAGGCATGACCAAGAAACACTGATGAAAAGTATCTTGTAGTCACATGGTTGCAAATAACATCCCAATAAAAAATGCAACTATCCATTTGACCTTTTTGAACAACATTGTTCGAAGACACATCAAATCATAAAACTATGCTTAAAACTATGCAATAAAATACTTTAGGCACTATAGGTTAAACTGCTGTTTAACCTATAGTTCCTAAAGTATTTAATTGTTTTTATTTTTATTAAACGCGTTTAATCATTTTGAGCCATAGATAAAGAGAAAGATGGTGCTGTTGTGCTGGAAAAAATTGTTAAAATGGTTGGCATTAATTCAGAAGATTCGGCTAATGCCAAATCTTCTGAATTAATGCCAACCATTTTTTTTAAAATTATTTTTCTAACAGTAAAATAATTTAAAAAAAAATTTTTTATCTTGTCTAATAAAATTTGAAATGTCTAAATCAGAAGAATTAGTCTCAATTTCTATGATGAGAGAACTTCTTAATATTCAAAAAGAAACAATTCTATCTTTTTTCCGTGAATCACTATTTAGCATAAACGAAAAGTTTGATAACTTTTAATCTAGTTTTCAAAAAGTTCGGAGAGAACTTGATGAAATGAAATCTGGCTTAAATTTTGTTGGCGATGTTTTCAATGACAAAGCTAGAGCAGTTGAGGAAAAAATAAATAAAGTTCATGACGATTTATCAAATGTAAGAAAAATGCAGGGTAAAATATCTTCGGACAATATTGAATTAAAATTAAAAAGTGTTGATATTGAAGACCGGAACAGAAGAAATAATTTAAGAATTGACGGGATCGTCGAAAATAGTGAAGAAAAAGATTGGGAAATAATAAAAAAAAAAGGGTAAAACAATTTAAAGATAACCTTGGTGTTGAAAAAGACATTATGATTGAACGGGCTCATTGAGTAGGAGTAACTAATGATAAACGAGAGCGAACAATCGTCTTGAAACTACGTGATTACGAGTATAAAAAAACAATTATGGAGAGAGCAGTTAAATTAAAAGGAACCAATATTTTTTTAAATGAAGATTTTAGTTTCACAACTCAAAAAATTCGAAAAGAACTTTTTGATCAGACGAAGATACATCGTCAAAATGGCGATTTTGCGAAAGTTCCTTACAACAAACTTATTGTTCACGAATTTCGAGAAAACACCCGCAACACAGATGTTAATCCGACATCCATCAACGAGTAAGAATTTTGAGTATTTTTTTTATTTTATTATATTGAATATTTTTAAATTAGTTATTTTGAAAAAAAACTAAAAAATGGCGTCGCTTTTTTCAGAGAAATTAGATTTTCATAATTTAAATTTAGATCTTTTTGAGGACAACTTTATAAATAATCTATCTGAAGAAAACATAAATATTTTTCAAGAAACTCAAATCAACTTAATTAACACACCGTATATTGATCCTTTTGATTTTAAAGTAAAAACAGATGATGATTCATTTTCTGTATTACACATAAACATTATAAGCATACAGCAAAATTTCTTTGATAAACTTAAAGAATTTTTAAATATTTTAAATTACACATTCGACGTCATATCTCTTTCAGAGACTTGGCATGATACAGAAAGTACTCTTGAATTAAATTCTAATTATACTTTACCATTATACAAACTAATTAGTCAACCACGAGGTGGTGTGAAAAAAGGAGGAGGATTAGGAATTTATGTCTTGGAAAAGTATGCTTTCAAGATAAAAAACATACTATGTTTTTCTAATAATAATTATGAAAGTCTTTTCATTGAAATTATTAATAAAAAAACCCGAAACGTTTTAGTTGGATGTGTTTATCGTCCACCGAGTGGAAAAATAAAAACCTTTGAAACTTTTATCAAAAATACGATTATAAAAATAAACAAAGAAAATAAAACATTATATATTGCTGGTGACATAAATCTTGATGCTCTTTCTAACACAAAATTTTCAAAAATAAAATCTTTTTTTTTTGATATGCTTTTTAAATTTAATGTCTTGTCAACTATTAATAAACCAACGTGAGTAACCAAAACCTCGGCAACAGCAATAGACAATATTTTTATTAATAATTATTTAGAAACGGCATTTGAAACCGGTACATTTATAACAGATATTAGTGATCATTTCCCGGTTTTCATAAAAACAAAAAATCTAAAAGCTATGACTGATTGTCATTCAAAAATCATACATTTGAAAAAACGAAATTTAAAAATGAGTAACACTAATAAATTAACAATTAGACTAAAACAAGAAACAACGTATATAAATGTCAAGATACGAATGGAGCTTACAATGCTTTTACAAGTACATTTTTGGAGTACTTTAATGAAACATGTCCTTAAGAGATTATAAGAATTAAGTCAAAAGCAATCGCTAATCCGTGGATGGATAAATCGTTATTAAAATGCTCAAAAAAAAAGCAAAAACTTTATAATAAATTTCTGAAAAATAAAAACAATATAATTATTTAAAATAATAATTATTTTTACTAAGATTTCATTAAAAATGCAAAAAAAAAAAAATATTACAGTAATCAAATTAACAAATGCAAATTTGATTGCAAAAAAATATGGTCCATCATCAATGTCATAATGGGAAGAGAAAAACTAAATTCACCTTCTCTACCTAAACGAATTGTTATTGAAAACAACAATATATTTAGTCAAAAACAAATTTTGGAAGAATTCAATAAATATTTTACAAGTATTGGTCCAAATCTTGTAAAAAAAAAAATACCAACATCTGTATCATTTAAAACCTTCCTTCAACCAACGAATGTTATCATGCTTGATTATGAATTAACCTATGAGGAATTTGAGGCAGCTTTTTCCTCGTTAAAAAAAAATAAGGCTCCAGGATTTCACAGTCTTAAAAGACCTCTAATACATATACTAAAGCTTTTGTTAAATTCTGGGATATTTAAGGATGTACTTAAATTAGCAAAAGTAACTCCATTGTACAAATGTAGTGATCATTCTGACAAACTACAGGCCTATATCAGTACTTTCTGTATTTTCAAAACTATTCGAAGGTATAGTTTATAATAGAACCTATAATTACTTCATTAAAAACAATTATTTTTACTCAAATTAGTTTGGTTTTCAAAAAAATCTCTAAACTGAGCATGCAATCATTGAAATAGTAAATCAAATAACTAATGGTTTTGAAAATAATAAATTTACTTTAGGAGTATTTCTTGATTTATCAAAAGCATTTGATACAGTGGACCACTGTATTCTCTTAGATAAATTAAGACATTATGGAATAATTAATAAAACTTATTATTGGATTAAAAGCTATCCTACAAACAGAAAACAATATGTAAATAATGCCTAATCTGGAGTGTTAAATGTCAGATGTGGAATCCCCCAAGGTTCGATTCTTGGTCCACTTTTTTTAATATATATAAATGACTTCTGTAATGCATCCTTAAAACCTAATTCAGCCATGTTTGCAGATGACACAAATTTATTTCTTACCAACAACGATATCAAGAAATTATATGCAGACATGAATATTGAACTAAATAAAGTAAATAACTGGTTTAAGGCTAACAAACTCTCACTTAATGCCGAGAAAACAAACTATAGACTTTTTCAAAAAAAAACACAAGAAGAAAATCTTCCTCTCAAGTTGCCAAACCTATTTATAAATAAAAAATTAATTAAAAAGCAATCCAATATAAGATTCTTGGGAATCGTTGTTGATGAAAAATTATCCTGGCTTCCTCATATAATATATATCCAGTCAAAAATTACCAAAATCATAGGTTTAATGTATCGAGTTCGCTCGTACATCAATACAAATAGTCTTAAATTAATCTACTTTGGGCTAATTCACAGCCTCATCAGCTATGCAAACATTTCATGGGCAAGTACTCAAACAGCAAAGCTTAAGAAACTTTATAGTTTTCAGAAACATGCCTGTAGAATCATTTACTTTGAAAATAGGCGGGAACACGCTTATCCCTTGATGAAAGATATGAAAACGATGAATGTATTTGAAATTAATATCTACCAGCATTTAATTTTCATGTATAGTTACAATCACAATATCTCTCCTATAAGCTTTTATAATAAGTTTGAGTTAAATAAAAATGATAACTATAATCTTATGTTGAACACAAATAAACTGCCTAGGATAATAAATAAATATTCAGAATACAGCATTTTATATCGAGGTCCAAAAGTATGGAATATTTTTTAAAAAGGGTTCAAAGGTACGGTGAGTTCGTTAAGTTCAGTCAAGTTTTTAACAAAAAAAGAAATTTTTAAAACCTGTGAAACATTTTTTTGTTAATAATGCTTTGGATAAATTCTCTTAAATACGTTTTTGTTTTGTTTCTACTTTTGTTTTTTGCTTGACAAATTTTATAAGCGGATTACGCATTTTGTTATGATATTTTATTGAAATTTTTTATTTTGTTTGTCATATTATGATACTTTAATGAAATCTTGTTAAAGGGGTTCTATGAACAGATTGTGATGACGTTCTGTCATTCTCATCTTCTTTGAGCCCCTATCTGTTTTACTTAATTTGATAAATTTTATATTATGTAGTGGAATTTGTAAAATTCTTATGTTATGTAAACAGAAAAAGAAAAAAAAAAAAAAAAAAGTTGTGATGATGATTTTTCAGTGACTTATTAGTAAAATAATCAAATATTGTTGGTTGGCTTATTAAAGATATGTTTTTTAAATGCTTTGCACTTTTTTCATGACTTTTGACTGCCATTATACCCATATTTATACTTACGGAAAATGTCTTTCCGCATACATTATACATACCCTTTGTTTTATCATCAGCTTTCTTAAGCCAACCCCGTGGCGGATGACATTCAAGATTGATCCAGTCATTATCAAAGTAAGTTTTTTAGACATTTTTATTATTACTATATTTACCAGGAAAAAATTAACATTGTATTAACATAGTTGAATCATAAGTTTAAATTTATTTATATATTTCAAAGATACGTAACAAACTTTAAATTTATTTATATATTTCAAAGATACGTAACAACTTTAGGTAATATAATAGAATTTTTCTTTTAAAAGGTGGTTGTGCAGGAGTTTGTAAAAAAAGATTTATAAAAAAATTTAAAAATTTCGAAAGAGGTTTTTTTCCCTGACTTTTAGAAAAAAAATTGAATCTGACTTTTCCCTGATTTCCCTGAAAAAATTTCTAGTCTTTAACCTTAAAAAAAAAAAAAAAGTAAAATAAAATTTTTTATTTATCATCTTGCAAGCACAAGAATGTTAATACAACTTTTGATTGTAATAAAAAAATTTACTTAAATATCTATTTAATAACAAAAAATTAATGATAAAAAAAGTTTAATTTTATTTCCATTTTATATTACGATTTTTTGTTTTATTTCTTTTTTTTATTGTAGTGATTGATTTTTTCGCTTTTGAAACTTATTTAATACAAATAGAAAACTGAAAATATTCCCAAATAATGATAATAAAAAAACGAGTTAAATAATATTTAACTTGTTTTGTGGTAAATAAAAAAAGTTAAAGAAATAAAAAAATAAAAATAAAACAAAGCCTGATACAGATGGCAAAATTAAGCAGTACAGGTAGACAAAGGAGGTCATTCTAAAAAGATATTGTAGATTATATGATCCATCAGTTAGAATTCAAAAGAGTAGTAAAACCTTTTTTATGCAGAAAAATAATTTTTTTATGTCGAGTGTGGTAGGTGAGAACATCAGTATGAGGTTAATAGCATCAATATCATAATAAGTTATAACACCCATACGCCTATGAGTATAGGTGCTATAACTTACCATAATATATACAACAACGGTAATATGTAACGCTATATTCAACAAGGTGAAGTGGTGATAGTTGTATTTTAACACTAGCATGTCATAGCAAAAATAAATTTCATTTACACAACTTTTTGTTTTAATTCAGTTGTCTAAAACAGTAAGAATCATAAAATATGAGTTCAAACGATTTCTGAAGACTTTAAAAAATTCATGACTAAAAAGCAATTTGTTAAGAAATTGTACTATAGGTGTAATAGTGATGTGCATTGGTTACTTCTGCCTGGACATCTAGTATAACCTTATGTTATTTTGTTATTCTTTTTCAAATAAGGTAAGTAATAAAGTAAACACTCAAATCTTTCACTAATGGACTAGAATATCAAAGCCAGACATTAAATCTACAAACTGGATTTTAATTAATCAAATGCACATATTAGTGCTCATGAGTCACAAACCACAAGTATTAGCTAAAACAAATAGGAAGTAGGACCCTGTGCTGGTGTGAAATAATGTGTTATGAAGTGAGATTCTAACTTCAAGCATATAGTCATTTAGCATTGTCTGATAAGTATTGTGGAGCTATCAATTGTGTGTGAGTGTTTAGCATAGCCATTAACCTTTAAGCCCTTTAACCACATTTAGCAAGATCATGTTTATTTTGTCACTGTGGCAGAAAAAGATCAGAAAAAGTTGTTGCTCGCCAGTTAAAAAGTAATTTATTTATTCATTACTGCAATACAAAAATCACATGCAGGTCTACTTAAGTAGAAATTAGAAGTGATTTAAAGACTCAAACCTAAATATTTTGATCAAATTTAAGCCAGTAAAAAATAATCGATAATATTAATAATTCATTGTTAACATAGTAATAATAAATAATATGAAATAACTACAAAAAATGCATTATTATAGGAAGAAAAAAGTGTTAAAGTCAAATATCTCAATGTAGCAGCAAAGGTAATCTTTTTCTTAGGGGCCAGGGATTATATCTCTGCAGTGTCTCAAAGAGGTCAACACTAGCTGTTTTTTTTCTCACTTTAGAGAAAAGAGAGAAAGAAAAAAAAAGTTGCAGCAACTAGCATCTACCCTATACCCAACATCAGGTCCTATAGCTATACCAACTGGATATAGATTTTGCTACTGAAAAAAGTCCAAGCTGTGCAAGTCTGAAAACAAAGCTAAACCATTGATAAATAATAACAGAAATAGTATCAAAATATTCATATGATTCAAAAAAAAAAAAAAAAAAAAAAAGTTTACCATGCACTTGCTTCCAATTGAACTGGATCAGCATGATCAGGAGATATGAGAATCAGCAATTTCCTCATAATACTATAGCAATCATCTGTTAATTAAAAAATATATTGTTAAGTAATCTTATTTCGCTTGTTAAAAGAACCAATTAAAACTCTCTGAATATATCCAGAAACAATTATTTTGTACTAATTGTTATATTTTATGACTCCTATATTTTATCTTATACAATAGTAATGTTAATTTTATATATTATAAATATATTATATAGTAATATTAATTTTATATATTATAAATATTTTATCTTATACAATAGTAATGTTAATTTTATATATTATAAATGTCTATATATTTTCCCTTCCGTCTTTCTGCTCTTCTTTCACTTTTACACCTCTTGTACTATTTCTGCAGTTCTTGTACTATATCTGTGCCTCTCTGTACTACTTCTTTATTCCTTTTTATATACATTTTAAAGGTTGTTAGATGTGTCTTATTTAATAGTTCAAACAGGTTTGTCTAGTGTTTATGTTAGGCGCTTAACGCTTTATTGAACCTAAAGGTTTCACTTAATTAATTTAATAATTATTGTTTCACACCTGAAAAGTTTGTTATTTTTGAAACAACATACATTAATAACAAAAATTTTAATCATAAAATATAAGTTTTCCAAAATGGTTATTAATAACTGTTTTAATATTTGACTTAATGGATAGTGAAATTTTCTTGAACTGATATAATAATATAAAATAGTACAAGAGAACATTTTTTTGCCTTAAATTTTACCAGCTTTGACTTGTAGAATATTGTTTTTAAGTAAATTTAAATAAAAAATCAAAATAAAAAATGAAATACTTAAAAATGAAAAAATATATATAATTAAACATATTTATTCTTAATATTTTGTAAAGAAAAATAGCATACCATGAAGCAACTCATTTGCAATTATTTCATTGGCACAAACAATTACTGACAATGTCCCAACTACTGGAATTAATACAGACGGATGTTTACAATCTAACCATACAGCTAAAGCACTAATAACTCCAGCATCATATAGAGTGGTTTGGTCTTTAACATTCTAAATAAACAATTAAATTTATAAAAAAATAACAACTATAAAAGCCTTAAGTAAAAATCAAAATATTTAACAGATTATTTCTACTTATAACATAGATAAAATTTAAACGGTTAATGAATACAATGGAAAAAAAAAAACCTTGCAAGACCGCAGCAAAATATTAGCTACACATTCAGCACACTGAGAATTTTTTCTTAATAGTTGAACAAGTGATGATACTAAATTGACATCCTCATATATTAGATCAGGAGGAACTTGGTTAGTAAGATAGCAAGTACGTAAAGAACGCAAACAAGTAAGTATTAATTTTTCATCATGGTGACAAATTCCTAGTTTAAAAACATAATAGCTATATTAACTGTAAATGTAAATAACAAAAATTGAAATAAATGAATTTTATCTTTTATTTTTGTAAAACCCTATTATGTCATGTTGTTTATACTAATAATAATAATTTTATTTACAATGTTTTTTCATTATTTAATTTATTAGAAAATGCTGTTGTTGCTAATCTTTAAGAAATATGGATTGTTTTTTATTGAAATAAAAAAACTAAAAAATAATTTTGTGTCATTTTTTTTGACAGCACTAAGTAAAGTTTTCAATCTACAATTTTTTTATGACAGCACTGTGTAAAGTTTCCACTTCCATTTTCTTTTTTATTTAAAAACTTTGGCATATAAAATTTGTCGAATGTTCACACACGAGCAGTAAACGCCTGAGGGAAGAAATGAAGTACATTAGAATAAAGAAGAATTATTTATTAGACAAAGCATATTTTGACAGTTGTCAAGACAAAAATAAAGATTAATAGAGGAATAATTAAAAATAAATAGCACAGGCTATACACCCAAAACAGTACTCAACAATAATAACAATAAAAAAAATAAAAAAATAATTTTTTTTATAAACACCAATATGAACGAAGATATACAACAAATTCATCACCAGACAAAAACTTATAAAACTATATATAACCTCCCTAATTAAACTACAAATAAAAATGCTTCCAGAACAACTTGCTTACCTACCACTACACTACTACCACATTTAGTTAAATTTATGATAAAATCAAATTAAAAAAAAATCACCTTTGCAAAGAATAGCAACTGCTTGTGATTCAAGAACACGCTGCAATGACTCAGTTCCACCTATATTTAATTTACATGTCATTTATATGTGACTGCATAGTTACAAAGAGATAACCTGATTAAAAGCAATATAGCAATTTCAATCATAACAAAAAACACTACTTAAAGTTTAAGAAAAATGATAATAATAAAAACAAGTCAATAAACCTTGAGCTAAACTTCCAATGACTGCTGCTGCTTCTATAGCAAACTCTATGGCTGTGCTATCTTCCAGCACAAGTTCGATTATTCTGAAAAACAATTATATTGTTATGTAAACAACCAGCGCAGATATAAGACAACTTTAATTTATTCACCTATTATCCATCTTAATTCATTTAGTTCAATCTTAATTCTAATTAGATCTCACAGCACTAATATTTTTTATTATCTTTCTGCCCTCACCATTATTGTGTATGTATATGTACATGTCTTTGTATGCATGTAAGTGTTTATTTATGTGTGTACTCTCTCTCTCTCTCTCTCTCTCTCTCTCTCTCTCTATATATATATATATATATATATATATATATATATATATATATATATATATATATATATATATATATATATATATATATATATATATAATTTTTTACCTCAAATATTGTTTTTTTTTGCAAAAAAACAAACAATATTTGCTGTAAAAATGCCTACCTAAAAGTGTTTGAGCTCGACAAAAAATTGCCGACCTCATTTCTATGTTATATGGTAACCCCTTAGTGTATAACTTTTTTTGCTGACCTAATGCCAACCTTATCAGTTTCAGGTTGGCAATTTATTGCCGATCTCATTTTTTCCTAATTCCAAGGGTTGATATATATATATATATATATATATATATATATATATATATATATATATATATATATATATATATATATATATATATACACACATACATACACACATACATACATTTATATACACACACACACACACACATACATACATACATACATACATACATACATACATACATACATACATACATACATACATACATACATACATACATACATACATACATGTGTGTGAGTATATATATATATAGAGTTTAAAATCAGGTTTTGTATTTAATAACATTTTTTTTCAAATGAATAAACAGATAGCTCACGCAAAAAAACAAAAGCTCTTATAAAAAGCTGTATAGAGGCTGTTAGCATGGCTTGCCATGTTCGTTTAAAGAGACCATTGTTCCACTCTTTCACTTATTTATTCCGACCAAGATCTTTACATGAATCCATATCATTTTGTTTTAGTTGCTTATTTTTTTCCCTGATTGCTATTGGCTGTATAGCATATTTGTTTAATGTATCAAGCTGGGAATTTATAGGTTCAACTCTCACTTAAATATTTTCTCACTTCATCATTTATCCTTAAAACTATTGTTTGAAATCATGACCATAACCTTTAGTTTTATTATCGGACTTTTTGCCATACTCATTTTTTTGCTGAACTTAGCATTACATGCTATACTTTTACATTGAACAATAAATAAATTAAATAATTCTGAAATAATAGTTAATAAACTTTTTTTTTTTTTTTTTAATTTATTATGATTCTTGTTTGGTTACGTAAAACAGTTAAAAGTTAAAAAAATTCATTAAATACCTTTCAAGCACTCCCATGCTTACGTAAGTAGTTTTCTTTGAGTTCATTCCAATGATCTGATTTTTAATGTACCTGTAGATTACAACTATTTTATATATATATATATATATATATATATATATATATATATATATATATATATATATAAAAGTAATAAATGTATCTATTTACAAAAAAATGCTTATAAAGCTGTTTTAAAAAAAAACCTTATTGCTTTGACATTTTTATTCATGTCTCCAGAATATAACATTCCAAGATGTTCATTGTCAATGTCAGCATAATCCTGTAACAAAATTAAAATAAATATATATGTATATGTGTGCATGTGTATTGATATAGATAATTACTAACCATGTGTAAATATGCAGCAACTACTTAATATTTCAAATTAAGCAAAACATCTATTATTAAAATCTTTAACTACACTTAAACACTATTTAGTGTTAATATTTTCATTTTAGGTATTATTTTTAGAATCAATATTAAATGAAAAAAACCTCAATTAGACTTTTCATTGCAAAACTCCTTTAATTGAATTATATCATGAAGTATTCTTTATTTATAGCTAAAATAAAATTAAAAGCAATTTTATACATCATCATCATAATCATCAATAAAAATATTAATTTAATCTATTCAAACATCTATTCAACATTGCTTTTTAACAACTCCATTAAAATGATCTCATTTTGTTTTGGATTTTTCACTTAGACATTCAATGCAACTATTGTGCTAATAAACTTTATTGCTCTAGAAAATGCTGTTATGATGAATGTCAAAATAAAGCTTAAAGAAAAGCTATAGAAAATGCTGTCATAATGGAGCCAAAATGAAGCTCAAAGTAACAATACCAAAACGTCAAAAATCAAACATTCTAAAAGTATACAGTTTTAAACATTCTATAAAGAATTTTTTTTTTTCTGATTAAATTTATTGCAATTAGAGTTAGTAAAAAGAAACCAACTAGGTTGATCATATAAATAAAAATATTTTAATCATATAAATCATATCATATATATCATATCATATAAATCATCATATCACATCATATAAATCAGATCATATAAATAAAAATATTATAAAAATAATTTTTTCATTAATTATTTTGAAAAGCAATTTTTCACAGTTGATTCAAAGAAAATTCCAAGTTATTTTGAAATAATATTAGGAAGAAATTGAATATTAAAACCATGTACACACAAACACACAAGTTTTAAAACAATAACAAAAAGAAAACTTTATCTTCACTGGCACAAATTTATTTGAAGACCTTCAAAATAGAACATTAAAAAATGTTCTTCTAAATTATAAAAATGTAAATAATAGGAGGAAAAGATAAATATTTTGATTTTTTATTTTGAACTCTCATATTTATTTTCAAAATGAAAGAAAACTATAGAACAAAAAATTTTGTAACTGACAAATATTTAAATTATTAAATAATTTACAATAAATAAATAATAATAAAAAATGAAATAATAATAATATTAATATTATCAAAAATAAGAAGAATAGTAACTTAAAGGAATTAAGGACACTTTACAATTTTATTTGTAAATATACAAAATATTTGAAAAAAAAGTTGTAACTATAAAACAATTGCTACTTCAAAAGAAAATTAAAAAATGCAAAAATTTTAATAATTTCTAACTTTATCAGTTTATAATTATTTCTAACTTAATCATTAAAAAAAAAATCATTTTTAAGTGTTTTTAAAATATATTTTTATAAGATTTTATAAAACTTTTTAATCAGTAAAAAAAAAATTAAAAATTAAAACATTTTCAAGTATTCTATAAAATATAAATTAAAAATTTTAATCTCTGTTGAAGGACTTTAAGTCAATCTTATTTTCTAACATCCACGCGCGTATTTGTTCGCGTAGCTCATTACATGGTATTACTTGGTCCAGACGCAGTGGACTTCGATTAAATGGATCTTTTTCATCACTAAAATGAACAAACCTAAAACTTTAGTATGTATTGAGCTGAGTCAAATACTAAACTACATTTATGTTGGAACAAGCGGGTAAAGCGAATAAAAAAAAAAGTAAATAAATAATTTATTTACTATAAAACAATCTTATTTTAATTTAACAAGTTAATTTAAAAACAACTATCTTAAATTAACAAGTTAATTTAAAAAAAAAATCAATTTTTTAACAGTAAAATTAAAAAATGAAAATTTTCACAAGATCTGTAACTACAACTAAATTCAAAATTATTATTAACAATGATACCTAAGCAAATGTTTTGAAATAGTTGATTTACACACAATTTTTCCAGAAGATGGAAGCTTAACTGGGTCTACCATTAATACACATGAAATAGGATCCAAAAATTCATCAGGAGGCTAAAAAACAACAAATATTCAGTAGTATTTCATATATATATATATATATATATATATATATATATATATATATATATATATATATATATATATATATATATATATATATATATATATATATATATATATATGTATATATATATATATATATATATATATATATATATATATACATAGATATATATATATACATACATATATATATATATATATATATATATATATATATATATATATATATATATATATATATATATATATATATATATACATATATATATATATATATATATATATATATATATATATATATATATATATATGTATATATACATATATATATATACACATACAAAACTCACCAAGAAGAAGAAGGATATTATTACGTTGGGCTTACTGAGAAAACTTTCAAAGACAGGTGGTATAAACATAAAAACTCCTTTGTTTATGAAAGTAAGGCCAACTCCACTGAACTTTCGAAATTTGTGTGGGAATGCAAAAATAAAGGTATAGAACCTATATTAAAATGGAATATCCTCAATGAAGCGGAGCCATTCAAACCTGGTGGTAAATTTTGCAATTTATGCTTGACAGAAAAATACCACATTATTACGTCGCCATTGAATTTGCTTAACAAACGAACAGAGCTTGCATCAAAATGCCACCATGAAAATAAATTTCTAATAAAAAACTTGAATGTCATCAAAGCGGACACTCCATAGCATTTTTTGTATATAATTTTTGTCGTTACTTTTTATTGTTGTTACATCTGATGATCGCTATTGCGTGAAACTTTTAGTTATGTAATTGAAATATATCTTAATAATTATTTAGTTTTCACTATATATATATATATATATATATATATATATATATATATATATATATATATATATATATATATATATATATATATATATATATATATATATATATATATATATATATATATATATATATATATATATATGGACAATACCGCAAGAAAGAGGAAAAAAAAGGAAAAAAAAGTTAGGAAGACATATACATATGCAAAAAAGTTATTAAAAAAATTATTTTATCACACCATAGCGTTATTTTAAAGTTGTAACAGTTATATAAACAATTTTTGACGTTTTTATATAGTCCTGTTGTGAAGTGTTGAAAAAGATTTATGTTCTGCGTTTTTAAGAAACTATTACTTTTAAGTTTAATTTAAAGACAAAATTAAACATTATGTAGAATATTATTTATAAAAAAAGCACCCTAACTATGTATAAAAAAAGAATATATTAATCAAATTAATGTGTTACAACCATCACGAAAAAAAGTCAGGAAGTTTTTTCTAGGCTTTGTATCAGACTTCATAAAACTAAAAATATATTAAAAGTAAAGATACTGATATTAGTTTTATTATTGTTTTAATTTTTTTTTTTTTTAAAAAAAAGAGCTTTAGATAATAGTATTAAGATGTAACAAAGTACGTTACGACCATCACGCAATGTTTGTTTTGCTTCTTGACTTTTGAAGTTTGCTCTTAAAAAAGTTTAAGCGCGAACGATTTTATTATTGAAAGCAAGTTAAAAATCGTTAAGAATAATTTAAAATTTAAAATAATTAGAAAGTATATCTTTTTTTAAATATAAATCACTTATTTAAAATAATTGATGTCAAGAAATTAATATATGCTACGAAATAAAAACTTTTAACATAAAGAAAACTTTTTTAGTTGAAATGTTTTTTATAGTTTGCATTGCAACATTTTTGTTCATTCAATTTTGCGTTTTTTTTATTCATAAAATTTGCATTTTTTTTTTTAAATCATAACAGAACGAAAATCTCAAAAAAAAGCTGTTATGTTTAATAACATTTTTTAAATGCCTAAATCAGGTGGGGGAAAATCAAAAGCTTATAGAGCAAGTAACAGAAAAGGTGGTTTGAAAAAGAAAGTAAGTGAAGTTATCAAAGAAGACAGTTGTTAACACCAAGAAAAGGAAACAAGCAAAAAATTATTTTGGGAACAGGGAGCATTAACCATTTAAAATTTAGTAAAGTAATAAAGTATAAATAAATATAGCAGCCTGCCTTTAGTTGCCTATTTTAAATTTAACAAACCCAGTGAAACATGCTGTTGAAGAGCACAAAAATTAGATAAGTGTTTTTACTAAATTATATATATATATATATATATATATATATATATATATATATATATATATATATATATATATATATATATATATATATATATATATATATATATATATATATATATATATATATATATATATATATATATATATATATTTAGTACTTGAAGTGGGGTGGTGTATGTATACAGCCCTCAAAATTATGAAAAATCAGGTCAGCGATAATTTGCTTACCTTAATCTGTTAGAGGATAGCATTAGGTTGGCAAAAAAAATTTGATACAAAGGTGTTTGATACAAATACCATAAAACATAAATACGAGGTCGGCAAATTTTTGCAGTACTTAAACACTTCTAGGTCAGCAGTTAGGTCAGCATTGCCGAATGCGGACTTTAATTCTGAGAGCTGTGTATATATATATATATATATATATATATATATATATATATATATATATATATATATATATATATATATATATATATATATATATATTTGTGTGTGTGCATATGTGTGTTATTCTCTGAGCTACCACAAGATTTTATTTTTGGTTATATATTGTTTTCCATTTACTTCAGTAATTTCCCCACATACTCTATCAACTTGATCCTTGAAGATGGCAAAGATCTTTAACAGGTTCATGTCATTGATTGGAGCATCTGCTGAGTAGTCTGGCAGTTGATTAAAGACAAAGTTGTAAACATTCTTCTTCTGTATCAACCAAGGATTACAAACTTATAGTGGTGCAGAAGCTTTTTACCTATGATGCCATTTTCGTTTGTAACTCTTGAACACTGTATAATCAAGAGATCAACCTTTTCCGAACAACACCTTAATTTATGATGATCTTAAAAAATATTGTTTGCAAGCAATATAAATTATCTTTCTATTAAAGCTCCCTTTGAGGGGTAATTACAGCACTTTAAATGAATCCATAATTGTGGCAGTTGTATCCTAGCAATAATGCTTAGTTTATTATTCAATGGCGTAAAAAATAAATGTGTTTTTTTGCTGTTAGTCATAATAAGTCATAATAAGTTGCTTAATTGCTTGTAATTGTAGCACAATTTACTGCTGCCACTATCTGAGGGCCATTAAAAATGTTTCAAGACTGTTGCAAAAACCATTTTAGAATTTCTTTATTTGGACCATGTGCATGTAAAAGCAATTAAACTTGCTTTTGTGTCTTTCTTACTTAGAATTCAGCATTAAAAGTTTGATTGTCTAGCTTTCTCTTTATTTCTTTTTAGATATGAAACTGTTCTTTTCTGATATTTTTTTCTCTAGAATGAATTCTTATAAGTTCTTATTACAGCGTACCTTTCTAGTTGATCTTTAATCAAGTAAGAAGTCAGTGTTTGCTGTTGTTTGGGACAGAAAAAAATGCCATTTATGTTAAAGTGAATTATAATTTAATGGTAATAAACAAATTAATGTATAAATTATGCAGCATAAATTTTGCATAAACTTTATTACTTTGCAAAAAATTGCATTAAAAACATAATGTATATGAATGTTTATTTTGATTTATTTTAAATAATATTTGGAGCAGATTAAATAATAATTAACATTACCTCTGGCATTTCTTGTTCTTCTAATTTTAACTGTTCGTACCATTTATCAAGTCTTGTTATGAAATGACGAAACTCATTAACCATATCTTGGCGGCCTTCTATACGCCTTTCAGATATAAATGTTTAACATATAACTTTAATTTATAAAAATTTTAATTTGATACAATTTATCTTTAACAAAACCATTTTAAATTTATTAATTCTTTAATTACTGAATATTTATTGAATTATTATTAACTTTTATACACACATATCTTTTAATTTAAGCCATACATTAAAATAATACTGAATATTATTATTAACTTTTATACACACACATATCTTTTAATTTAAGCCATACATTAAATTAATACTGAATATTATTATTAACTTTTATACACACATATCTTTTAATTTAAGCCATATATATTAAATTAATAGAACTTTTGACACAACACACTTGTGATTTCAATTAAAAAAATTTTACTAAACTTTTTTAATCTCTTGAAAGTTCATATTTATGAAGGATACTTATTTGTTATATCCATTTTTTCTTGATTTTTTTTTAAATACTTTTCCTTCAGCTATATAACAACATAAATCTTAATAAACAACCATATAATAAATGAACCTCAATGAACAAGTCAACTGTGAGGAAAAACAAGCTGATAGTAAAAATAATATACTACAGGGCGCAACAAATCGATGAACGGGCAAACACTTGGTAAAAAAAGACAGAAAAACGAACGCCACATTTCCTTACTTTTACTTAAACATTGGCGTTCACTTAAAATTAAAAAAAAAAAATTTCCAGATAATTATGCAATTGATAGTTTTATTATAAAAAAAGTTACAAAAATTTAAAATACATTTTCAACGACTTCAAAAGAAACCATACTAATACTTTCTTCAATAGCGTTACTTTTAAGTACACAATTAAAGAAAATAATGTTTTAGCATGGTTTTTACATGTGTTTATAAAAGCATAAGAAATTTAAGTTAAAATGAATGCATTTGCAATTATTTTAAAAGAAACCATGCTAAAACATTGCTTTCATCGAAAGCATGTTTTTTTTTTAAATTTGCTTATTATTGTTAATTTTTGCTTGCCCTTTTTAAAGTTTTAAATTTTTTTTAAGATTTGCAAAAATATATATAATTTAATATAATATATAGAACTATTATGTTTATTATAGTTTTTATTTTTTACAGTATGTTTAACAACACCAATAATGATATTTTATTATTAAATATTTAATATTATTATAAATATAATAATATCATATTTAGTAATAACTAAATATAATATTAATAATATAATATCAAATACTTAATATTATATTATTATTTTTAAATGTCTTAAAAAAGCAGAACAGTTTAATTTTAAGTTCCCTTTTATTTAAATTTCTTCAAGTTTATACATTTTTTTATAAGTAAATAAATTTGACAAGCTAAATTGAGAGAAATTCACTAGTTTGTATTAATGAATAACAGTTTACAGTCATAATGTTATTGCATATTAGTTATCATTAATTTGTACGCGCTTTGCAAATGCGAGAAAGATTGTTTTGAATTAATAAAAAATTGATAAAATTCAATAAGCATCTTCGATATATCTAATAATTATATATCTTATTAACTAGAATAAAAGTTATTTGAAAATAAAACTCCCTTTTAATTTCATAAAAAATTATTTAAATAAAAAAAAAAATGAAAATTAAAAGAATGGAATATAAAACTGGCATATTCATGGTTGATGACACGGGTTTCAAAGTGGAAGTGCACAACAACCTATTTCTAAAAAGCAAGTCCTTTATACCTAGAATTTCAATTAAAAAAAAAAAAAAAAGTAGGCAGGGGAGGGGGGAGGGAAGAAGAAGAAGTGCCCCCTCCCCTATGCTGTCGACCATGTTATTTGACCTCCTAAATTAGATGTTCATTGATAAAGAAATGAACGTCAATGTTTGTTAAAAAAAAACTTTTATCGCGCCCTGTACTACATTATAAAAAATTTCATTATACAAAAGATGATTAATTATAGATCAACATCAACTTTATCCCCCTCATTTCACTGTAAAAAAAATAATAATAATATTAAAGAAGAAATTAACTTAGTTGCTTTCAAGTATTCCGTGTAAACTGACTAGTTCACTTAAATAGATGATGTTAAAAAATAGGCCAAATTCCCTCCTCCCCTCCCCCAAAAATTTTAAAATTGAGCTGTCTTTAGTTTTTATTTTCCTTATTTTGCTCTAATTTTTTATTTATTTAATTAATAGCTATATAAAGAATACTAAACTCACTCTAAAAGTTCTATTGATGCTTGAAACAACTCAGTTGAATATGAACGACCATCTTTGACAATAGCACGACAAAAGTCATCGTCTTTCCCCAGTGATAGATAAATAGATAAAATATTGACTACTAATTTTCGAGGTTCAAAGTTGTACTTTTGAAAATCTGAAACCTATTTTAAAAACTAATAACAATTTTTTTATCATATATATAAAATCATCTATCAATTTTAATCATGTTATGATTAAAATTATATTTTTGATAGAAAAATTAAATATTTTTCTCCTACTTGTATTTTAGGTATGAAATATAAAAACATTTTTACACCCATCGTGTTTACACCCATCATAAGATAATAACAGTGGTTAATAAATTATTTTATTTCACACCTTTAGCTCTCTTCTTTTAGGACCAACCAAATGTACAAGAAAGTAATTAAGAAATGCTGCCATTCCATCTATCATACAAGGACTTGCAAAAGGTCTGTTAAATATAAGAAAAAACTTTTCAAAACCTGATTCATTTATTAAGTATATTAAAAGAAAATCTGTTTTAGTAAAGTTCAAGGAAAATTAAATAAAGTATATTTACCTTGAAATATCTTTTGTTACATAACATAAAACATGCACTGTTTCATTTGCCATAATGTTGTAGTTTTTTGCAAAATAACCATATTGTTGCAAATTTTGTTCTTTCTGTAATAATTTAATTTTATAAACAAAATAAAAATGATGAAAAACAGCAATAATATAACTCTAATATAATATAAACAAACATTGTTGCCAAATAGACAAAAGCATTTTTAAATGAATAAATTAAACATCAAAACTCCAGGTTCAAATACAAAAGATTTCAGAATTCATAAAGCCTAAATGTTTTTCCTCAGTTTAAAAATTCCTAAATATATTTAAAACTGCTATAAAACATACTTAAAACTTAAGACTCTAGAAAAATATAATTAAGAATAGACTCTAATTTACAGTCTTATAAGACTTCTAAAGACCGTTCTAAGATCAAAAAATCTCTAGACCCTAAAATGCATAAAGTTAATATAAAGCAACTTTAACTTTAGAAAAGTTTTCCAGAAATTTTCTTGAAGCATCTTTTATCTTTTTCTGGTTGAATTACTATCTCTGGTGCAATTTGGCAGTCACCATTGGAACTTGTTAACAGATGGGGCACACAAGGACAGGCTGGGAGGTGCATCTAATAATTTTGGTGGTTGAGTATTGTTATTTTTCTTAAAATGGGTATACGTAGTACTATAAACGTAGGATCTCTGCGGTAAGAGAAAGTCAAATGTCAGAGATAATTTACGGCTTTGTTTTTAGATACAAACCTTAATATTAAACTTTTTACCATTAATTGTAGTAGTAAACTAACCATGAATTGTCTTTTTACTGATTGTGACATTGAACTTATTATCAAATTTAACCAAATGCTGCCCACAGTCAAGTGCAACCTTAAATTGGTGCATAAAATAGTAAAACAGAATTAGGAGGTATGTTAAATTATTAATAATCACAACTTGACAATTGAACGTATTGTTTACTATGGTAATATTGCATGAAAATTGTTGAGTCTCATTCGCCGTTTTTAGTCTGCCCTAATAAGGTAAAGGTTTGGCAACTTTATCCTTTATACTCTCATAAACAGATGTATCCATTACACTACACCTTGCTTTTGAATCCATAACAATAAGAACGGGTTTACCATAAATTTGCCCCCAGATTTTAGAGCACAAGACTTTATCTGGATAAAATTCCAGTGTCTTAGTGTATCTTTGAGAAATTTGGTTACCTGGATGCGGATATTTTCTTGGTGTCTTGTTTTGATATTGTGCCTTAGAAGTATTAATAAATGCAGTTGAGTGTTGGGTAATAGTTTCATCGGCTATGTTGCAGCGATTTAGGTTGATAATTGGTTTTTCTTGGTAATGGGATAATAAAGTTGTTGGAGCACAAACATTTTTTTTTGTTTTTTTTTTTGTTTTTCTTGGTATAATAAATGTGTTTGGAGCACAAAACTTGGGTGTGCCCTACTTTTAAGCATCGATTGCACTTGTTTGTCACTGATACGCAGGTTTAGTTAGACTAGTTGGATGCAGGACTAGTTTCTTAATCTTTTGGTCATTCCCCTTTAACTAGTCTATTTCTGTTTGCAACTCAACCATACGCTGATTTAAGTTAGCGTGCTGGCAGTAGGTGGAAGCTATAACTGATTGTTTAAGGGGATTTAGGAGTACATCTAGATTAGTTTCTAATGGAGAGATGGCAGTATCTGATGGAATTGAGTCTTGTAGCTTAGCAAACGCTACTGAAGCTTGATAATTAGAAGGTTATTTTAATTTAAGGGCATCCTATAAGTGGGGCTTTAATCCTTAGATGAATAAACTCATCTTGGTCTCATCATTGATACCTAACTGCTGACTCAGTTTAATGAGGGTGTTAATGTATGAATTAAGATCTGCATCCTGTGACAATCCAAACAATTTCGTTTTCCATGCTTTGATAAAACTGTCATAGTGACAATGGAATTGTTCTTGGAGTCGGTAAAATTATTTTTAGTAGATGCGGGTAGTGTTTCATAACACACCAGGGCACAACCTTCCAGGTATAGTGGAAACGCTAATAACTTTCTTGTGCCCAATCATTGGTTATAGAGAGCAATATGGCAAAGGCTAGCAAACCATTTGCTGGCGTCTTTGATTTCAGTACCTTGGAACACTTTTGGTTGCACTTCCTGGATTGATTTTGTTGCTCAAAGCTCAAGAATTTCTTCTAGGGACATGTTGTTTTTAACATTCTTGTTTGTTGAGTCGTGGCTGTTTTTCCATTTAAATGGATTAGTGTCAGATAGTTGTAACAAGTCAGTAGAATCCAAAGTAAAGTTGTTGAGAGAGGTCTGAGAATTATTGGCTGTATTACCACAATTAGTTGATTCAGTAAACGGGCAAATTTTACCAGAGCGTAAATGACTCATAAGTAAACAATAAGTTAATATAGCAACGGTTTTGGTTGAGTAAACTGGCATAAGTAAAATAACCAAATAAACAAAAGTTAATATTTTCTTAAGTGGGTGAATTGATCTGTCCAAGCAGAGATAGAATCTACTTGTGATCCGAACTGTCCAAAATGCTACGCACTTGATTACTGTTTCTTTAAATGTATCCTAAACCTTTATTCTTTTTGTTAGGTTAGCAAATGGTAATAATATACCCAACAACTATTAGGTAATTACAATTTCAATTACTATTATATATAACTTTATCATTTCTTATTACTATAAATTTTTCAATAAATATAACTAGTACTATTTTACGTATAATACTCCACGCAATAATCTATCATTATAATAATACTGTTTTACACTAAATCCATACATTTTACACTAAATACTCCACACAACTTCTCATACAACTCCCGACTTTTTCTACAACTCCTCAACTCAATACTCTACAATTTTTCAACTTAATATATACTTAATATATTATATACTTAATATATTATATATAAAGTATATAATATATATATATATATATATATATATATATATATATATATATATATATATATATATATATATATATATATATATATATATATATATATATATATATATATATATATATATATATATATATATATACAGTACAGGCTTTCACAGGAAGACGTGCGATTTCATGTCTTTATATGACCACGCAAAAAAAATGTTTTAACGATTTGACCACGGCATATTTTTAAAATTTAAAAACGCGCTACAAAAACTTACCTAAACCTATCTGAAAAAAAAATTTAAAAAAATAATAAATATTAACAAAAGAGAAAATAAAAAAAAAAAATACTTAGTTAAAGCAAAAACACACAAGAATAAATATATATATATATAACGCAATTAAAACAAAACTCATCAAACTAAATGCTTAGTCTATTTAATTTACGCATTTCAATCTTTGTTTCAACAGTTTTATATATTTTTTATTTGTTTAATATGTTCAAAAGTTAAATATTTCTCTTAAAAAATACATAGTTATATAAATAAAATAAAAAAACATTTTATAAATACTTTTTTTTTAAATTAATTAGAAGTTTTTTTTTTACTTCATTAAAAGCATTTCGATAATATAAAAGCATTTAAGATCATTCAAGATCAAAACTTTTTTTTTTTAACAAAATTTTGTTAATCTTTTTAAATGCATTAACTTTAATCATTGTTATATTCAAATTCATTAAAGAGACTTTCGTAGTCGTAGAATGTCATTGTTTTTAAAAACAAAACAACTTTTTATTTTTAATAAGATTTATTTTAGAAATGAACACTTAAACAATTTATATGTTTTAAATTAAAAAAATATATACAACTGTCAATTATATTAAGAAAACAAAACTTTTTTTCAGTAAATTGTTACTTTATTTAAAATGGTTTCGCTAATATAAAAACATTTGTTAAGAAGTTTTGATGTAATTAATTTCACTTTATTAGAATATTTTTTATTTAGCGCTTTTCTAAAATGTTTTTTGTATTAGCCGCGGTCAAACCGTCATAGTAAAATGTAACTTGTGTGGTCATATAAAGACGTGAAATCGCACGTCTTCCTGTGAAAGCCTGATATATATATACGATTGTTAGACCTGTCTTGGTCTAATTGTTTATCTGTTTAGACGTTTCACGCTTCATCTAATCCAATGCTTCATTTAATTAAAAACAGTTTGTTTGAATCATTTTTATCGTTTATTATTTTCACTTGACTGGTTGCAATTGTTACCTTCGTAACACACACACTATATATATATATATATATATATTTTATATATATATATATATATATATATATATATATATATATATATATATATATATATATATATATATATATATATATATATATATATATATACATACATAATATATAAAGAACACAAATAAATGTTTACCACTCTTCTTTCTTCTGTTGGTAGAGATTCCCATTCATTATTAGCCTTTTCATTTTCTAATGTTTTGATTAAAACCAAATTCTAAAAGAAATACTTGTATATATATATATATATATATATATATATATATATATATATATATATATATATATATATATATATATATATATATATATATATATATATATATATTATATATATATGTATAAATAGATGGGGTGTGATTTTCCTAATATTGTGTAAAAAAGTCAAGTGTTTATTTTTAAATTTCATATTATTCAAGAAAATAACATTGCAATATCATTGACACAGTTGGATAAGGTGCAGAACCAATACAATTAATTATAAAGGAGAGGTTCATTGGAGAAGTGTAGTAAAAAAAAACCTCAATGGAGAATTCATTTTTTATTACATTTTTAATTATGCATTTTTACAATAAGATTGGTTAGCTTCCAACAATATACATCCAATTTGTATTAGTATACAATAACCTTGCAATATGTGTTAATTTACAAAAACCTTGCACAATTTGTTATTTATATATATATGTTACATATATGTAAAAATTTGTTAAATATATAAAAACCTAGGAGGTTTATATTTAAATATATTTAACAAATTTTATATTTGTGTTAATATATAACAACCTTGCAATAATTGTGAGATAGAGATAGAGGCCAGAATAAGACCTATTTGGCCTTGGGTTGCAAATATAGGAGGGGCTAATGTGGCGGTCAACTAAAAATGTTAAGCAGGAGCGAGGAGATAAAAGGAATTCAGGGTTACCTTCTGACTTCAAATCTGTTTCTTGTTTTTGTCTTTTTAGAAAGGTAATTTTTGTTAAATGGTCAATTGTTTCCAAGTTACGACCAATTTCAACACATTTTGAGGTTTATATATTTTTGAGAAGTTTTGGTGACATCTGGTAAAACTTTTGTAATAAAAAGTAACTTTTGTAATCAAAACTTTTGTAATCAAAAGTAATCAAAACTTTTGTAATCAAAAGTAACAAAACATACAGTATGTAACGTTTATACGTGATATTCTTTTTGATTTGAAAAATTGATCAAGTTTTTAACACATGATATTGTATTGATTATTGTCTCCTTTAGGAGTTTTGTATACTTCTTTTACATTTTTCTTAGCTAAATGTAATATGCCTATTTTTACGATCTGAATACGTAAAAGTATCCACAAAAAAAAGCTTTATGTATTATGTAAAAAATGTTTATGTATTATGTAAAAAAAGTCTGTTTATTTAATATTATACATGCATCAGTGCCTGTTTATAAAAACAGGTATTATTTTACACCTTTTTATATGTACCTTTTTGTGTGTATTTCTCAGAATAGTTTAAAAATCCATTATATTTTTGTTATGAATTGAAAACTTTCACTTTTTTTAATCTATTAGTAATGCTTTTTTTTAAAAAAGATTTCTTTAATTTTGAGCAAGACTTTAGAAACTTTTAAAAAATGCCATTTCTTTAGCATTCTAGTTTCTAGTTAAGCTATCAAATGTATTATTTCTTTCTAGTTAAGCTATCAAATGTATTATTTACTGTTGTTTAAAAAAAAAATTGTTTTTTCTCTGAGAAGTTCATTTCAGTTTTTCACTTTAAGCATAAAATTATATTTATAATCTGTTTCAAACTGTTACAATATAGGCTGTTCAACTGTGACAATATTTTTTAATTTGCAGATACCACAACAGATAAACTTTTCCCTACATATTACATATATAATACAAAACTAATACATCAGCAATTCTTGTAAAAAAAAAAGAAAAAAAAAAGGTAACTTACTTGCAAGGCTTCATCAAGGAGGTAAGTGCTATCATTTATTAGAAGATTAATAAAACGAGGAAAAGAGGAGAACACCATGTCACGTTTGTATTGAATTTTACCCTAAATAAAAAATAACAATTCCTCTAAAAATATTAACATTGAAATATTAATTTAAAAAGCTTAACCAAAACAAAACCTTTTAACGGAGTATTTAATCATTTATTTATAATACATTTTTATATAATAACATACTATATTAGCATGTTTTTAATTTTAAATTATTTTTACTTTGTTTAAGCTGTTCATGTGCATTTTAAATCTAACTATCTACCTAAAGTATCAGGTAATTTTGTTCTAGATCCTTACAACAGATTTTTGATTCTGGGTAATAATAATAATGCATATAGTTGTAATAAATAATTATCCATCTAGTATAATGTAGTATAAAATGTATCTAGTATAATAATTATGTAATCGGTAATAATTATGTATCTCAGTAATAATTATGTATCTAGTATAGCAAAACTGCTATTTATTAATAACAAAATTTATATTCATATAAATTTCAGCCCAATGAACCAAAAAATAAAATTTACAGAAAAATAAAATTTAGACAAAATTTATTTTTTTGTAACTGTTATTTGCATTTGCTTATATTTCTATAATTACTAAAGAACATGGTAGTTAAAACTAATTACTAAAAAATATTGTAGGTGGACCTAATTACTAAAGAACATGGTAGGTGGCTTTTAATACTATAGAATATGGTAGACAGTTTATATTTTAATACAAAGATCATTTAAAATATTGTTTTAGTTTACCTCTTCTATGCTGGGTGTTAATATTAGCAACATACACATAGCTAATAAATTCTTTCCATGATTAGCCAACATTTATGTAAACTTATAGGTTGAAAGGTAGAAAAAACATTTATAAGTCACAACACAAGTTCTAACATAAAGAATAAGCAGTAATAATGAAATAATCTAACACATGGTGTGAGCTGTAATATAAAGTTTTAATGTGGTTTTAATGTAGGTTGTAATATCAAAATAATAACATAAAACTTACTTAATTTGAAAAAGAAAAATTGTTTATGAGTAAAAATAACAATATAGATCTCTTAATTTACTTTTTTCTAATTAAGTGAAATTTTTTTTTCTAAAAAAAAAACTGTTTAATGGTTATACATTTTATTCTATATAAAATAAGCTAAACCTTTCTGGGTCACTGTCTCAGATTTTCTTGAAATATACTATAGGTTATAATACTGTAGATTCTGTGGAAAAAAAGATTTTTTTAAAGCCTCAATATCTCTAATATCTATCAAGTTTCTATTTAAAAAAATAAAGAATTTTAAGCAATTTGATTTCTTTTTTAAACATGTTTTTTTTTTTTAGAATCATACAAATAAAAACAAATTATCTTAAATACTTAAAAATCCAATATACAACTTTTTTGAAAAAAATTTTTTGGTGGAATACTACAAAATTTTTGATAAAATATTTATAACTGTTAATTAGAAACACAAAATTTTTGACAAAAATATTTATAAATGTATTGATAAATTTTTTTTTTAAAAATGAAGAAACTTAAATAAAATTGTAATCCTAAAAGGACATTATGTATCTACTGACACTGGGGGTTATGAGAGTTCTTGTGTGTGTGTGTGTGTGTGTGTGTGTGTGTGTGTGTGTGTGTGTGTGTGTGTGTGTGTGTGTGAGTGTGTGTGAGTGTGTTCATGGGTTACTTCCAAATTGATAACTATAAAGTTAAATAAAAAGAAATTTGTGCATGAACTGGCTCACTTTTTATTTTAATTTATTTCTTTATTTATATTTTTATGAAGTAACCTATGTGCTCATGATAAATATAAGAGAATAAATACTATTTAATTTTAATTAATTGGTTTAAAAACAAGTGCAAGCAAGTAAATGTTAACAACACCTAATTAGAACTGATTACATTTATCTATTAAAACACTATTCTGGCGAGCAAAGTTCCCTATAGTAGAAACCAAAATTTCCACCTCTTTTTAAAACAAATACTTAATTAACAGTCTCAGCAACAAAAACAAAATTAAAAAACAATATTACAAGAGAATACCATTATGAAACTTTATAACTTTATGAAATATAAGCACATTATTTACCCTGTTATGTATTCTAAGTGTTATATATTTTAAATGTTATATATTCTAAGTGTTATATATTCTAAGCACCTACACGCTTACACACTTGTAATGTTGAACTTGTAATTTTTTACAACAATAGTTTCTTAAACTGTTTAATTTTGCTTTTCAAACTATCAAAGATAGTTTGCAAAAATCACAAAGTTTTATGAAACTTATTATTAGTAGTAAAAAAAAGTAGTAAATATAAATTATTATTAATAATAAAATTAAATATATAAACTACCTCTTCATCAAGCTTTTTAAACTCAGCATGGTAAGAAGGTATATTCCATATATACTCAAGAATTCCATACATATAATGTCTATAGTCTACAAACAACAACGACAACAAACTAATTAATTTCCAAATGACAACAAAAATAAAATTTGAAAAATGCAATGTTTTATTTGAATAAACTCACTGAATTTCTGGTAAAATTCCATTGTGTGACCAGTAAACTCAATATCCACAAAGAGTTGTAAAAGAGATTTAGGAAGAATTTTTGGTACAACAGAACTTTCCAAAAAAGCTTTTTTACGAAAACTCTAAATAGAAATATAAATTTTAAATGTTGTCAATTGTCAGGCTGGAAAAAAATTGTGATGTTTTTAATGCCAGGGTGTTAGCTAGGAATACATTTTTTACCAAGTTTTTGCAATATTGGAAATATTTATTGTTTTATAAAATATGAAAAAAAATTTAAAATTGTACTATTACTTCACAAAAAAAAAAAGTAATTGAATTTCGGTAATTTTATACAAACACTAAATGGGCTTAAGAAACTACTAAAATTACTATAATAAAAATATCTGAGATCAGAAAGATGAACCCAGGTCATTCTCAGGAGTTAAATTTCAGCTAGTTGCATAAAAAAACCTGCATAAAAAAATGCACTCTGCTTGGTTAGTACTCTTGGGTACAGACTTTTCAGAATTTTTGGTTGTCTGAATTAGCTTGTTTGCCACTTAAAACTAGGTGTTTGGTTTCCTCATGATAATACTCTGAATCAGTAAAATTAGCACATAGACAACTTTTGTTATCTAAAAAATGCACTATGAGTTTACTTAACATTGTTACTACAGATGATGAGGGTACTCTATGTTTATCGCATTTTTCTTAGAAATATTTTCTGAACTTAAGCAATAACAATCCAAACACAAACTATGTTGATAATAAAAATTTAAAAAAAATATATACTAAAAGTTTACATAAGAGAATAAGTTATTCTGTTGCTCTGTTTCTTTTGGTAGAAATACTGCCAAGCTTTCAGCAAGCTTTGCACGTAAATGCGGATTTTTTATACGAGCAGAAGATCTATAATTAAATTAACAATTCAATTTAAACAATGAATAGTATTGAAAAAAAAAAAATTGTATTAAACAAATCAATTTAAATCAAAGTTGTTAGTGTGGATGCTATGGCAAGTTATCTTTACTTAGCATACACACTAACTGCTTGATATTCATTTAAAATTGTATATTTTATGTGTATATAGGGTAGAGCAGGGATAGTTGAGTTTAGAGGCAAGTTAGGTAATTAAAATAATTCAGGAACTACGCACTGCTGACAATATATGTAAAATATGAAAGTTAGAGAATTAGAATGGTCATACAATGCGCAACAAAAGGTGAACTTGGGCAGCATTCAATATGATGCACGGGTCCTTTTTCTATTTTTCTAAAAAGAGTAAAAAATATTAATTTCTATTTTTCTCAAATTTGTAAAACTATTTCTATTTTTGAGTATAATATCAACACTTTACATGATCTGCCATTATCATAGTCATAAAAACGATAGTCTGGAAACACAGGCTGTTTTTTATTGTTGTAATTTTTAAAGTTGAATTTTTAAAGTTGAAGATATATTTAAAGTTGAAAATTGGGTGGTCCTCGAAGATAAGGTGCAAAAGAAACTTTAATGATGACTGAAAGTTCAGATTTGAATTCCCAGCCACCTGTTTGTTAAGTCTCCCTGCCCACCTGGCTTTATTAATTTCTAACTAGCCAGTTAGAAATTAATAAACAAGAGCATTTATTTGGCATCTCAGATCATTTTTGTTTAATATATATTTTTTAGAGATAAAATAAGGGAGAGTTAAGATAAAATAAGGGAGAGTTAAGGTTTAGTTTTCAGCAACAACAAAAAAAAAAGCAAACAAAACCTAAAAAAAAATTTAGGTTTTGTTTGCTTTTTTTTAAAATTTATATTTATTAACTTAAAATTTAACTACAAATTGCATATTTAAAACTCTAAATTTTTATGAATTAAAATAATGTCACGCAATGTCATAAGCACGCAAATCTTTTTCATCATTTTTTGAATCACCTTTCCCCTTATCTGTTAAAATTTTTCAACTTCATTAATAATTATGATTTGAATATTTGAAAAATATAATGATTAAATATTTTTAATAGTTAATAATTATGAAATTTAAGCCTTAAATTGTCTAATACACTAGTGCCAACCTTGCCCAAAATGTCAATTTATTCAAGCAAGAAAAGAAAAAAAAAAAATTTTTTCTTTTCTTGCTTGAATAAATAACGCAACAAAGCAATTTCTATACTTTCCCAATTTAAATTTTTTAACATAAATTTTACTTTTTTATTACTTCGAAGTTACTTTCATAAAATTACTTGTTTTCACTTCCCCAAAGTACACCCAATTCTCTCCTTACACCACCTTAATTTTGTGAGCCAATCACTGGCCATCATCATAGGTCTTCTAATAGATGCATACACATATATATGTATGTTATGCAGCTGCATACATTTTTCATGGCTTTCATTGAATATGTTGGTAAGTTCATGATAACCTTGGATTAACTGTTGCTTAACAAAATGTAAGACTTTTTGTGCTCAGTAGTATTTTTTTATTTTTAGGTTTGCAACGATATAAACATTTTACTTCTATCATTTAGAGTAAAATTACCTTGTCGGTTATTGATGGAATTTAACCACTTTTCAAAACATGGCAAAATCATTGAACCTAAATTAGTTGTAGCATAAGCATATGAAGATTGATAGTTAAGAAGGACTTTACTAAAAGTAGCACTAAGAACTTGAGCTGCCATTTTGATGTTCATAATAGAATAAGATAATAACTTAATGTGTTCATATGATAACTTTAGAAGTAGATGTAAACCACATGTTTGGTGTTCTTTAAAAATGTCTGCTATGTGACTCAGTTTCTTGTTGTTTTAAGAAGATGTTAAGGGTAAGATATAAAGTAAATATACCTTTCAGGACAATGTAGATTAATAGTTTTATATGTGACATCTGCATCTTTTTTATCATTAGAATTAGATAATTGTGAATGCATTTAAAAATTTTTGGTTAGGAGCAGCACCATCACAAGTTGTTGCTATAACTTTTAACTTGCATTCCACTTCACATATACCAACAGCTTTCTAAAATGTCTTTCAAATACATGTAAAGATTCACTAGCAACTTATTTTCTTAAAGCTGAATCAATCAAATGATCTTTTGCGATAACCTCTATCAACTTTCTTCTCTATTAAACATAATAAACTATAACTCTGACCTTTAGGAAGACAAAATATAGCTACACCATGCGAATAATGAGAAGTAGTACAGCCATATATTGAAAAATTTGCTGAAGGCATTGTCTTTTTTTACACTTTAATTTAAACTCTTTATAAAAAATTGTTTGTTTTGCACCTTAAAGTAGGCTGGGTACAAGAACATAACATCTACAAAACTATTGTTCCCAGGCTATGTTTCAAGACTATTCATTCTTATGACTATGATTTTACTGTTCACTTTAGAACATAACTAATGTGTCATCTTGTCTAGTAGGGGTAAGTTGAGTAGTTTTAAAAAAATATATGTATTTTCAAAATTATTAATTTTAAATTAGGCTTCAAAGTTCAAGATAATTGTATAAAACAATATTTCTATATTCTATGATTTCATAAATTTATTTTAAGAAATAAAACCAAATAGGTTTATATATATTCTATGATATACTTTCTTACTATTTAACTTTTTCTCTTCTTTTACATCATTAAAGTAAAAAATAAAAAGTTTATAAATGATAGACTTAATGTTAAAGTTTTATTGATGATTTATCCAAATTGCATATCATACATAGTCACATATTTTTTGGTTGCTTAACAGTTAGGCCAGGTTGAGCAGCTTTGTTAACTTTAGCCAATATCTTTAAAAAATTTTAAAAAATATACATTTTTTTAAACCAACTTTTAGGCAGGTTAAGATTAATGATTAATTAGAAGAAAAAAAAGAAAATAAAAAAGTAAAAATTAATAAACTGATATGTAGTATTAAATGTAAAAAGCCAAAAAAAAAATTTAAAATAGAAAACTGAAAAAAAAAAAAAAAAAAAAAAAAAAAAAAAGCACAAAAGAAAAAGGAAAAACAAGTTCTCAAACAATACAGAATTACAAATGAAAAATAAATAAAAAATTATTGCTTTTGATTTTGTTGTTTTTGCAGTACTTGTTACTTTGTTTATTTGTCTTTGTGATTGTTGTGTGATTGTCTAGTTGAATTAATGTTTTCTACTGATTTTGTTTATTTGTCTTTGTGATTGTTTTGTGATTGTCTAGTTGAATAAATGTTTTCTACTGATTTTGTTTTTGTATTTATGTTTTGTCATTTATGATTGTCATTTTGAGGTTTTATGTTATCGTTGTTTTGATACATCTTTAAAAGATTCCCAACACCTTCACTTTCATTTTACAAATGCAAAGTGTAATTTTTTATTATTTTATATTTACAACATGATGTGTGATTTGTGTTAATTTTTTTCTTCTCTGTTTATTATTATTTATAATATTGACTATTTTAATATTTATTGTTCTTTTTTTTCCTTTCACAATATTATTGTAATTGTTACTATTATTATTTTTCTTATAGGTATTTTTGCTGATATTACTTTTTTCATTCTTATTATTATTTTATTATTATTATTATTATGATTAATAAAATTATTTTTGTTGATGTTACTGATGATAATGTTTTTAAAAAATCAGTGTTTTAGGTGTTTACTTAATATTAGTAGCATAGGTTTTTTACAGTGTAGTAGTACTACACTGTAAAAAACCTTGTGTTGAAAACTAACACTTTGTGTTACTTTTATTAAAAACCTTGTGTTAAAAACTAATACCTTGTGTTGCTTTTATTAAAAACCTTGTGTTGAAAACTAACACCTTGTGTTGCTTTTATTAAAGCACATGTATTAAATTCAAATGAATACTTTTCTATAATATAAAAATACAGGTCTTTTCCTATAACAATATAAAAAAACAGGACTCACAGTTAAAAAGAAAAATTATGTTAATATTTTATTGTTTAGTTATAAATTTTTTGTTAAATATTTATATAATTATGCTTTGAGTATTTTTCTATACATTTTTTTAAACATTTGAAAAAATTATAAAGCATTTATTAACAGCAGATTCCTAATACAATTGTATTGATAAATATTTTAAAATACATAAAAAATTTAACACACATACTTAATAATACAATTGTATTGTAACATATTTTAAAATACATAAAAAACTTAACACACATTTAATAATACAATTGTACTGATAAATATTTCAAAATACATTTTGTTTTTAATTACAAATCTCTGTATACAAATAGGGAAGGACATAATACAGGGCTAATACATTTTAATATAATAAAATATAAATATTATCTTTATATTTTTATATTTTGTGTTCTTTAAAATGTTCTTTGTATTGCAATACTTTGCTTTTGTTAGGTAATGGGTTTAATAATGCTGGAGATGACTCAATCAAAATAAACAACAAAGAATATGAAATAATAAACACAAAATTGATGAACCTTATACAGATTGAAATAAAAATGAGAACTGACTATATAAAAAAATGTTTAGAAACATTTGCTTGTTTTGTTCAGTTAGATGATAAATTCAAATGCATTAATCGAAATTAAGTAGAAAACATTTCAGTTTTATTAAAGCAACAATTTCAAAACAAATAATTGCATACTGCAAGCTGACTGGCAAATGCTTTGATATAGGCAAGACAGATACTGTAGGGAATAACAATACTGGTAAATAATCTCCAAAAAATCTCAAACGAAAAAGTTATATTTATTAAATCATGTTTTTATCTATGTAAATTGTAATATAATTTTAACTTTGTTTAGATGCGTACTAAAATTTTAAAAAACCCTTGTTTATCTCTTGCCAACTATGTGCAACATGTTTTGTATGAGTGATAAGAGAAAATTCTTAAACAAAATATATAACAAAAATATATACCCAAACTTGTATATATGGAAAACATTTTGGAAAAACTAAAAGTTGAGAAAAATATCAGAAATTCTGGAAATATCCTGAAAAAGATAATCCCTGTAGTTTGATTCCCACCATGTCCTTGGTTGTACCGCACTCAACTTGTTTGTCAAGGTTCCTGTTGTGGAAATAAAAAGTCGAGATAAGGTTGTAACCACAACTAAAGCCTCCTCAACTTTATTTGTCTTCGTGGCTTTGGGGAGGTGAATTGAAATTACAAAATTAAAAAAAGGTGCAGCAATCGTTTTCATAATTGAAGAACAAAAGGTTTATTTTATAAATAATATTCCAATAATATATAGTTTTTAAGAAGTATAAAATTCAATTATACTAATTACTGTTCATCTTCTTTCTCCCTTTTTTTTATTTGTGTTAATTTTTTTTTTTTTTTTTAATTAGATTTATTTTAAACTTAAAATATTTTTTAGGATAGCAAGACTAGAAATGTTTTTTAATTGCTAAAATCCAAAAGCAATTATAGATCAAAAAACAATTATAGTTTGAAACCTTCGTTTCTGTTGCCTTTGATTTTGTCTTTTGATTGTTCCTTTGTTTCTTCAAGTCTTTTTTTGTATTTAATCTTGAATATCCAAAGCAACTACAGGTTTTATATAATTTCTTTCAAGAACTAGTTTATAAAGTGCCTGCTTCTGTTGCCACCATAAAATCAATCAAACTATTTGAATAGATTTATTATATGCAGTGTATGCAGTGCAAAACATTTTAATCAAGAAATACTAAAATTTTTTTAAACATTTTTATTATAATTAAGAAAAAGTTATTTCAATATAGACATTAACTGTTTGTTTCAATAGAGTAAAACAATAACAAAAATAGGATGTATAAATAAAAACAATTTTAAAAATATTTATTGAATACCCTAAAAAAACTGCAAAGAACTCCATAATATAACGTAAGTTTGTACTCCTTTCAAGAGCTTCTTCATTGAAATATCTAAAAAAAGAATAAAGAAATAATTTCAAAAGTTAAACGATTATAAAAAGAAAATCATATGACATTATTGTTATTATATATACATTTTTATATTATGCATTATTGTTAAAACCATGAAACCATAGTACATACAGATAAAATCCTTTTGAAAACAGAAAATTTTTTGACAAAAATAAAAATGGCTATGACAACATTAAAAATTTTTATGACAACAGAAAATTATATGAGTTCTCAAAGCCTAAGGGACCATTGAGGAGTTTAAAATTTAACTGTTGTTATAGCTATTGCTTAACACCTATAACAACAGTTAAATTTTAATAACATAAACTTTGGCAAAAAAGACTGTTGTGTTAAGAGACATTATTAATGCAATACTTCTATAGACATAATTAGATTTGAACTCAGTACCTTTTACTTTAAGCAAGCATTCTAACACTACAGTGACGAACCCATAGTTTTTTTAGGGATAATGTTTCTGTTCGGCAACAGGAAGGGGGGATAATTGGTAGTAACCCCAACCCCTTCCTTAGTTAAAATCGATGCTACCACTTTGTTTGTGTTCACTTTTTTAATTTTATTTATTATCCAAATATAACTAGTTGATTTAAAATACCATCTTGTCATAAAAAGCATTTCTTTGAACACATTATATAGCAATGGACTTTAGATACGCTAAAAAAAACTATTTTATTAAATATTTCAATAAAATAGTTTTTTTTAAACTTTTAAGTCACTAATGTTAGACTATTTTTAAATAAAACTGATAAAACTATCAATATAAACATTAGGTAAGTATATTTTAATAATTTTAATTTTAGTAGTAATTAAATGTTTAAAATACTTTGAACAATTTTTAATCTATAATTACAAATAGCGTAGTATTTTCAAAATTAAAATAATAGTAATTACGCTTATTAAATGCTTACGTCTTGTTTGTCTATTATTCATTTTGTAGTCGAATAGCTATTGTCAATATAATTTATTATAATATATTGTATTGACAAAACTATTCAAATAGAAAACAAAAACATTTAATTTTACTGAAGGTTAATAATTATCAGTGGTTCAAGGCACATTCAATAATAACTATATTAGTAACTATAATAAATAACTACGATTAAAAAACTTACTGATTAAAAAAATATATCATTAAAAAACTTGCGTACTTCAAATAAATTACATTAACAAAGGATTTTTTTTTAATAAAAGATATTAAAGTTTACAAATATCTAAAACTTAATTTATATAATAAATTTCTGTTAGTAATATACACCTTTTCAAGATGTAAATGAGAACATGAAAGTTGTAATTAAGAAGTCGTAATATGTAATTAAGAAACACAACATGTAATTGAGAAAACGTTATATGTAATTAAGAAACACAACATGTAAATAAGAAGTCGTAACATGTAATTAAGAAACACAACATGTAATTGAGAAAACGTAAGATATAATTGAGAAATCGTAACATGTAATTGAGAAATCGTAACTTGTAATTGAGAACACATAAATTAAAATAGCAAATTCACAGTCTAAGTTTGTAGGTTGTTACAAAAGGTCTTTTTGGACATGAATTTAAGTTATAATCTTAAATTTTGCTTTTGTATGCACAAGTAATAATAATGGAATTGAAAGATCGTTGTGTTATATGCCAATACACTATGACCCGAAAGTCTGTGATTAAGCTAAATCTGTGTCAACATTTATGTCACCAAATTTGTTTATGTCCAGTTCTGGAACAACCAGACAAAGTTGTCCGATTTGTCGGCATGAAATACACACAACTGAACAAGTTGAAAGGAAACGTTACGTTTTATCTTCTCCAAATGACAGGAGAAGAGTTGTTAAATGTGCGGAGCGATTTGAAGATTGGGTGAATCTTGCGCAAACGCTAGGTATCAAATATAAGACAGCATACAATTGGGTTCGCAGCGGAAATTCAAATTTCATCCGAAAAGGAGGTTTTAAACCGAAAAAGTTGACCGAAGATCAAATCGAAGAAACATTAACATGGATTGAAAATGATTGTCAATTAACATTGGTGGCCATCAAAACAAAGATATTAAGACAATTTAACATAAACGTTAGCACAACAACAATAGCAAATTACCTCGAAGGCAGATTGTTCTCATTAAAAAAAGTGCACAAAGAGCCTTCTACAATGAACAGTTATGAAAACAAACAAAAAAGAGCTGAATATGTTAGAAACATCAACGAACATATCACAAATGGTCGTCAGATAGTTTGGTTGGATGAAACAAATTTTAACCTTTTTTGTAGAAAAACGCAAGGAGACAAGAAAAAAGAGCAATTATGAAAGTACCTGCTTCAAAAGGTTTAAACATACACTTGATCGCAGCTATTTCAACTACAAATGTCGTCATGATAGAAACTCGCAGGGGATCATTTAAAGCAGATTCCTGTAACGAGTGGATGTTGGCTATGTTTCACCAGTGGGTTACATCCGGCAATCGTTTGGAGGATTTGGTCGTCGTAACAGATAATGCTCCTTGTCACGCTTGTTTGCAAAGGGTGTTTGATAATTCACCAGCTCAGTTGTTACGTTTGGGACCTTACAGTCCAATGTTGAACCCGGTGGAAACGATCTGGTCCAAAATTAAAAGTAACGTTAAAAATGCAATTCGCATTCCACCTGTATTAGGTGACGGGATTGCGGAACAGCGCATACAGTACTTTGAACGAATTGTAATTGAGGCGAAAAATACTATAATGGGAGGAGATTGTGCATGTGCGGTACAACACACAACCACGCACTATGCAACTATTTTAAATATGGAAGACGTACAAGTTGGTGCTTAAATGATCAATGAAGTGATTTTTAATTATATAATTTTTAATTATAATTTTTAATTGAATTATAAATTTTTCCCTAAAATGTTTTTAGTGTTTATAATGTTAAATTCATTTGCCCAAAAATTATAAATTTTTCCCTAAATTTTTCCCTAAAAAATTAAATTTACGCTACAAATCTTGCATCATTTTTAAGTGCGTCATTTTATACGCGCCAATTTTTTTAAGCGCCATTTTACACTTACTCCTTTAAAGCGATATCTAAATTAAAATTTTCGTGTTCTCAATTACATCTTTCTATTTCTTAATTACAACTTACATTTTCTCAATTACATGTTACGATTCTTAATTACAATTTTCGTTTTCTAAATTACATCTTATGTTTCTTAATTACAACTTACGTTTTCTCAATTACATCTTACGTTTCTTAATTACAACTTTTGTTTTCTCAATTACATCTTGAAAAAGTGTAGTGACAGCAAATTTAATTTTATAAAAATTAAATTTGCTGTCACTATATTACTAACAGAAATTTTCACTTTTGTTCATTTATTATTAAAAATAGTTAACTTTTAATTGCTAACAAGCTAAAGTTAACTTGACTCTAAATGAATGTTTTATAAGCATTCTATTATAAAAAAACTTTTCATACATACAAATGTCTTTAAACTGAGTTTCATAAACAATTTTAACTTTTTTTTTAAACCTAGTTAACTACTTATTAAAGTTTTAAACAAAAAATAAATTAAACGAAATTACTTTTTAATTCATTTTATTATCCTGAAGAAAAAACTCAGTAAAATAAACAGAAATTAACTCAGTAAAAGAAACAAAAAAGTAGTTATTTACTACTGCGGTAGTAAATGGTGCTCACACTAAGCGTCGCGAAGTGGAAATTGGGCTTTTACTTTTCTGAAAAAAAATTATTAATTTTATTATTTTATATGTTTTTTAATCGAAAGTTAGTATTAGTTATTAAAAAAAATGTTTATTTTGAAACTTTTTTAAATTTGCCTTTTTAAATGCGAGATTTTCAGGGGTAAAAAAAACCTGGGTTTTCACTAAACCTTTATATTACATACAATAATTTCCAAGTTTCCTCAATTTTTTTTGCATATTTTCAAATAAATGATACTTAAATAAATGATTTTCAAATAAATGATTTTGTAAATTGAAACTTAAGAAAAGAAAATATTGTTTGGATCAGTGTTTTTGTGTGTCTGTAAAGATTGATTGACTAGACCCTGTTACTACAGAGGTAGCCTGTATTTTATTTATAACAAATTTTCTGCAATAAATAGACTTTTTAGAAGTGAAATTATATTCTGGCTAACTCTGTAGTAACATGGTATGAAATCAATTCATTGTATTGGGTTTTAGTAAAAACCAGTTAGTTAATAAGTATAAAAAACAAAACTGGATGAGGAGAAGTACATTTCTTCCTAATCTTTCAGTTAAGCGTGGTTTAATGTTTTAAAATGGTTATTATTTATCTCAGCAAACTTTTGCTTGATGATTTTCCTTCAAGGCATATTTTCACAAGGCATTTTCAAAGCATATTTTCAAAAGTAAAAATGTATTTGAATGTGCTATATTTTTGCAGTCCACGTTTTTATAACTTTATGCTGGTTACACAGTGAGTTTTAACATTTTTGAAAGTCTACCTTTTCATTTAAAAACGATTTGTGGAAAAAGAAAAAAGTTGTTTCTAACTAAATATAAAACATCAAAAATCAACAATGTAAGTATCTTTTGTGAGTATAATATGTTTTATATATTAAGTTGTTATTATTATTGTTAAATAAGCTAAGAATATTAAATTATAATATATATATATATATATATATATATATATATATATATATATATATACATATATATATTTATATATATACATATATATATATATACATATATATATTTATATATATATATATATATATATATATATATATATATATATATATATATATATATATATATATATATATATATATATATATATATATATATATATATATATATATATATATATCGTCAATATACAAGGGAAATGCAACTCCAAGAACATCACTTTGAGATAATGAACAAGTAAGTTTTTGTGTAATAGTTGAAATAAAAAATCCTAATAACTCATTAATAATTAAGTTATTTAACTTGTGGGGTATATCTAATGATAGATAATATAAAATACTAAATAGTGGGATAAATAACTCCATTTTGCCAAAAATGAACTAGTACATTTCCTTTGTATACCAACGATGTGTATATATATATATATATATATATATATATATATATATATATATATATATATATATATATATATATATATATATATATAATTAAAAAATGAAAAAGAAAAAAATTTTATTATGGAACTTTAAGTTTCATGCCTAACAGCAATCATCAGCTATGTATTACATATATCATATATGTATGTATGTATGTATATATGTATATATATGTATGTATATATATATATATATATATATATATATATATATATATATATATATATATATATATATATATATATATATATATATATATATATATATATATATATATATATATATATATATATATACACATCAGGGATGAAAAGTGTTTAGATAAGTTTGGAATCAATAAAACTAATATTTTAGGCCTCAGTGTTGACAATGCGGCAGTAAGCATCATATTTTGAAATTCATCTATATTTTTTTTAAATGAAGAATAAAGTTTATAAAACTATTTTTATTTTTTTAACAACCGGTATTTTTTCTTTTTTTTTTCCAACCGGTATAATATAAATCCAATTATTTCAATATTAATGACATTTACAATACTTAATAATTTTTAAATTTACGTTTATGTAAATATTTCTTTAATAATCCTTTTCATTTAAGTTGTTAATAACATTGTACATATATTTAATGAATTTTTCTGTTCTTCTAGATTTGACCAGTAATTCAAAATTTGAATATGCAAAAAGAAGCTCCAAAAGAATTTAATGTGCAACCATATCTTTGGGGAATGTGGAAGGAATTGAGAGATATATTGCAAATGGCACGGGATCTTACTATTCGTCTTCAGCGTAAAATTATCACAGCAGGTAAATTCCTTTTTGATTGGAATTCAATAAAGTGTGAACTAGACGGGAAGGACAGCGACTTAGCCAAAGATTTCCGGAAAGGAATGGATAATAGAGAGAGCGCACTACGCAAAAATTCGTTGTTTCTTGCAGCAGTTTACGTGGATATTAGGCATGGCTGTATGCTGACAGCGACTGAAGACAAGGTTGCTTTTTTTAATAAAACTTTATTTATATATATACATTTTATTTATTTAACTTTAAAAAGAATATATTCAAAAAACTATAAATGTTTCTATAGATAGCTGCAGCTGATGGACTTTGGAAAATTAATTACAAACTGATTCAACTGGCTAATAAAAATAAGAATGATGAACTGAACAAAACCAAAAATACAATAGCGTCCAACTCTTTAACAGTTCATATTGCAGACTCTAGTTCAGAAAATGAGAAATGCTTCACCAGTCGCAAAGCGACGACCGAATTTATTTATGCTGTGTGAACAGGAGATTGAAGAGAATTCTTCAGAAGAACAAATGCAGATTCAGCTAAATGTAATAGAAACGGAGTTTCGACAAGCTCTAAAAACGATTCTGGAAATTCGTTCAATGTTTAAAGACAACTCCCCCAACTTAGACGAGTTTTCAAAACTTAACCCATTAAAAGCAATTGAGCGGTTTCCTGAAGTTTTACGGGATGCCTGCCTAGTCGCTTTGTCGCTACCCATATCCCAAGTCAGTGTTGAGCGACTATTTTCGGTCTTAAAGCACATGACTCCAGACCATCGTAGTCAATTTATATCTGAGTTAATTGACGATATGCTTTTTTTACGAACAAACAAATTTTTTATTTGAATATTTTTGATGTAGATATTGCAATAATGTTTTCTTGTAACTTAATAATTTAGCGCGTAGTTAATGAAAATATAAGTTTTAATCTTTTTACAACTTTATGATCATATGGTTTAAAATAGTCTAAGAAATTAATAAATCTGTGCGTGTGACAATACAAATCAAATAAAAGTTCTCTTTGGAGTTGTATTATTTTCATTAATTTTACTATTCAGCAAATACGGGACAAATTAACTTCTGGGTTTAAGCAACCGTGGCGCAGTGGTAGTGCACTTGCCTAAAAAACAAGGGATCCGTGATTCAAACCCTATTTAGGCAAATTTTGCGACATTGGTTAGAAAGGAGGTCTGAATTTCCTGTTAATTGCTTTTCCGCGGGGCTCTGCAATATTAATAGTAGCCTATCAATTTTCTGGCATTTTCACATAAAAATTCCAGATAAAAAAAACCACATTTAATTTAAGAAAAAAATAAAAAATTCCGGAGTCCAGAGTCGGAGTCCATGATTTTTGTCATCGGAGTCCAGAGTCCCGGAGTCCCGAAAAATCAATGGAACTTCGCATCCCTGATATACATACATATATATATATATATATATATATATATATATATATATATATATATATATATATATATATATATATATATATATATATATATATATTTAAATGTTTTAATATATAATTTGTTTTTATTTTGATTCACAAAAACACTTTTAAGTTTGACATTTTTGATGGTGTTATATATGCTTTAATGTATTTTTTTATTAATTATAGTGTACGACAAAGAGCACCTAAATCAGAATAAATAAGTTGTTTCGAGACTTACTCATTGATACGAACAACATGTCTACAAGACCGGATATTGATTTTCAATCATAAATCTGAATATCTATTTGCAATCATTACTAATAACATTTAAAAATATCATACCTATGTCACAATCTGTACATATAATTCATGGTGCTTTTTTTAATAGGTATTTTAAGTATCCACCAAGAAGTTCTTTGTCTGAGAGTGCTATTGAAGCCAGAAACAAAGAAAGCAAAACTGTATGAGTTAGTCATGCGTCTAACTTTCTTGGCAGAAAACACTAGGGATACAGTTAATTATTTGTTTGTGACATTTGATATGTACATCTATTAAGTGTTTTTTTTTGAATGCTATTGGTAGTAGTTTAGACTTTTTTCGTTAGACTACTTTTGGTAAGTTTTTTTTTTTTTTGGTTAAGAAATCTCAATAAAGTTTATAATAACAATTCAAAGTTTTGTTGCTTTTTAAAAAAAAATATTTAAGAAATAATTTAATAAATTTTAACTAGCAATTAACTAATTAATCTAGAAAGATCTATATCATGAATTAAAATGTTATACTGATAAGCTGTTCTGCATTGAGTTTTTAAAAAACCGGCTATTTTCATAGCCACAAGTTATTAAAAACATCTATTAGAACGTTGAGAAACTTTGTAAGAAACTAACAAGTTATTAAAAACATCTATTAGAACATTGAGAAACTTTGTAAGAAACTAACAAAGAATCAGATGATAGTAGATTTGTTTATAATTTTAATAAGTTTATATTTTAATAAGTATTTAATGATATTGTTTATTATTAAATCCTGTTAATGATATATTTTGTAAAATTCTATAAAATATTGGTGCCTACTGTTCTTTGAATAAAAATAACTGGACATACATATTTTTTGAATTAGTCAAAAATTAGTCCGGATAAACTGAAAAAATACAGGTAACTATTTTTTTATAAAAACTGGATATATTTTTTTTAAATATAGAATTATAAACAAAAATTCAATGCCTTGAAAAAATTAGCTCAATATGTTGAATGCCTTTTTTTATAAGCCTATTTCCTAATTTTGTATTATAGCACTGCATTTAAAACCAAAATTTTTTTTTATTATTTAAAAAAGCAAAAAAAAAATATAACAAATACTAAATATTTTTTGGATGATTTTTTTTTGGGGTCCCCACACCACTCCAGCGGTACCTAAATAGGTCTGGATTCGACCTTGCCCTATTATCAAATAAAGTAATAAAGTAAGTAATAAAATCTTTTTTTTTTTTTTCTTATATCCCAATGTAGTATATTAAAAATCTAAATAAGGAAGAACATTTTTATTTTTTAACATAGATTCTGTATATCCAAAAATAAAATAATTTAAATTGATGTTTGATATTTTTTTCTTTTTGTGTTTCTTCAAAGTGTTTTTGCTATAAAGGCTACAACATACATTATATATTATAGATTTTTTAACAAAATTTATAAACTAAACAGGTTTTAAACTCATTTTTAACAATCAAAAAATTGAAAAATGTTGCTTCGAAAAGTTGTAATTTTTTTAAAATAAGAATCAAAAAAAAAATAGATTTATTCATAGCAATGTTTGGAATTTTTATTATTTCCTGCCATTTTGTCAAACAGATCTCAAAATTATACTTACCAAAAAAACAACACTACAACAACACTACTACAAAGTTTAAGGTACATACCCTATCATTCTCATTGTATCTCCAATATTTTCTGCTAAGTATTCAGGAATTATTGTTAATAAAGGTGGTACCTAAACAATAAATATTTAATAATTGAAATACAATTACAGACATAAATTATTTAATAACTAAAACATAAATACAGCCATTAAAGATTCATCTTTGGGCAAATGAATAATCTTTAATGGGAAAACTATAGAGACTAGATGTTTATTAAATGATACATACAGTTTACAATGATTAGCATTTTGGCAAATTAAGTTGGAACAATATTAATCCTTTGTTGAATTCCTACATGGTTATGTTCTTAATTTTTCATCATTGAACAGCTTAAGGCCAAAAGTGGGCGGCTTTACAGGTTTTCTTTATATATTATTGAGTATACAGTGATTATTCTTTAAAAATTTTTATTTAGTTGAGTGTAAAGAAATGTAAAAAACACATTTTTATAATTCATAAATAGAAGATAAAAAAGTTTCACATAGCCAAGTCATTAAAAAAAAAGTATTTAATTAATGGAGTTTAAATAACTTAATTAGTAATGGAATAGTGTAATGGAGCTTAATTAGAACTTATTATTAATCTTATAAAGCTTAGCTGTATTTTTTATAAAATCATTATTCAACCAATATGAACTGAAACAAAAGTTCATTAAGAAAAACAAAGTTTGTTTAAAGTTTAGTTGTTGTTGTTTTTTTTTTTGTTGTTGTAACACTAAAATAATTAAAATATATGTTTCTAAGTGATACTTGTTAAAAGACTTCTATTCATTCTACTATTTAGTATATTTAGTATCTAGTACCATTTTATCAGTATTGATTACATCTATTTGTATTTAAATTTGTATTTGGAAATTTAGAATTAACGCATTTGTACCTGATCAAATGTATTTGAACCCGGTCAGTAGTTTTGAAGATCTTTATTCTTAAGAATTATTAAAATTGTAAGATAATAAAAATTGATTCCTTAAATATTTTATTACTGACTATAACAAAATAAAATAAGTACAAGACAAAATTGAAAAAGAGTTCAAAACAGATACTATAATAGATGATATACATACTATTTATACCATTTTTTACAACTCAAAAGACCGCCGTCATTATATATTAGCAACCTGCTTGTCTAAACTTATAGACTGAGGTGATGTTACAGCATTAAACATGTCATTTATTAACTGAAACAGTTTATCAAAACAACAATGATTTTAATAATTTTAAAGGCACAATAAACTTCTCAGAAATGAAATAGTAAATAAAATAGACAAGTAATAAAATAGGCATTTAGTAAGATATGATTATTATACAAGTGTTTGAGAATTATATATATATATTCAAATACATACGTATGTACATACATATTCATATACACGTTTACATGATTTTTGTCAAAAAATGCAAAATATGCATGCTGACAACACACTAAACAATCAGGCATTGTATCAACAAATAGAATTGTTATCAACAAATAGAAAATTTGAAAATACAATATTGTTATCAACAAATAGAATATTGTTATCAACAAATAGAAAAATATTTTTTATGTTTTATATACATTAAAACTATGTGCAACTCAATCAAATATACAATATCATTTAGCGCATCAAGTCAATAGATTGTATCAATTCAAGAAAATTCTTGTGGAAGGCCAAGAATTTTCACTCCAAAAACCAACATGATACGCTTTTTGTTTGTGAAAAACATACAGGTTTTAAGCTCACAAATCTTTACTCAACTATACCTCCTAATGTGAATGTTAGTTCCTGCACAGTTCGAAGACACTTTACAAGGACTTGTATTTTCAATTGTACTACATTAAAGTTTTCAAAAAAATATTTATGATTGCCTCAGAAACATGTCTTATAATACAACTTTTTTATTTTGTTTATCTCCGTGTATTTTTTTATTTTTTTTTTTGAATTAAAATGCTTTATTTAGATATATTTTTAAATAAACAGCGTATGATTTAAATTCAACTATCACACAACTTAAAATGTTTGCCACTAATATAAATTAAATAAGTTAGGTTAAATAATTACAATATAAATAAAACAATAAACTACAATAAATAAAAAACTTACCTCTTCTCTCAAATATTTTGCTTTTAGTTCTTTTTGTTCCATCTTTAAATAGTCTTTTCCTGCAAGCACCTGTTGAATCAGCCAAAATGACGAAGCTGCACAAAATTGAATTGACAAATCAGCAAGACTTGAATTACATAAAGCAGCCTTTAAAAATAAGCAATTAAATATTACTGAAAAAAATATTATCTTCAATTATTAGTATAGTAAATACAACAGTATAAGAGTAAAATAATTACTACTTTTTTACAAGTATAGATCTTACAAAAAGTAGTTTTTAAATTTCTACATTCAACATAATTTTAACTTGCAAATAGATTTTATAAAGTTAGTTATTTAATATTTCTTTATTAACTTTATTGGCATGACAAAAATTTGATTAGTGAAAGGTGGGCTTATGATACGTAATTCATTCCAACTATACAGGTTAGCCATTATTTGTTTAACAATCTTTTGAAATTTTTTAGTTAAATTTTTTATTTAATTTTTATTATAATTAATTATTTAAATCAGCTAGAAAATTATTAGATTATGCTTTTCATGTATTGTTTTCAAACATTGGCTACAGTTAATTGACTAAAAATTTTGAAATGCTGAATGTTTGAACAATTTTGAAATGATAAATGTTTGAAAATGTTAAATGTTTAAAACAGTTGTTTTAATTATTTAATCAATGGTTGAGCAAATATCCACAATGATTACTTAAAGGAATATCACCAGTAAATTTTAATATTGTTCTCTTATTTCTCATGTGATGAATTAGCTTTTAAGGATCTGGACAATAAATGCTAGTATATGCATTTTGTGCTGTCAAATAGAAAGAATCTCTTCACTATTTCTAGGTGAATTACAATATCATTAAATCGAAATAGAAATTATATTGTTAAAGAAAAAACCAACACCGGTAAATTAAAGACAAAAATTTTATTGATTTTTTTATACAAGGAAAAACAAAGATCAAGCTTAATTAGAATAAATTAATAATTATTATTTTACAGAATTAATTTGTAACTTTTTAAAAATAAGTTTGTGATTCAACTCAGCACACCTATGAGTACCTATTTCAGCTTGAAGCAGAAAATGATGCAGGTCTTGTGATGAATAAAAAATGCTTTGCGCTTTCGCTTAATAGAGTTTATAAAACCATAAAATTATTTTTATTTGCTTTATTATTTATTAGCATTACCTGTTTTGAACAACTATAACCTACTAAACTACTGCAAAACTAGTTTAATTAAATAACTCAAAACAGACTAGAAATTTTATTAGGTAACAATGTTTTTGAATGCTTTCTTAGATTCTGATTTTTTGAAATATAAAAATACTTGTTCATTTTCTTGACAGTTAATTTTTTTACAAGGAATTTCATGTAAAATTAACTTTTTAACAAAATGATTGATACATGCTTGCGTTATTAAAATGTGTTATTAACACGTATGTTATTTAAACAATTTTAATGTATGCTTTGTAGATATTGTTTAAAAGGAATTTCATTTCTAGTAAATGAAAATAATTATATTGATTACGGAATATTTCAATTATTTCAGAATATTTCAATAAAAAAATTAGTTTTAAACTTTATTTTATTTTATAACTGAATTTATTATAATTGGAAATATTAAGCATATTTGATATATTTGTAATTTAAACTTACGTCACAACAGTGTTACAAAATACCAAAAAGTTTTTAGCATAAGATAAATAACATAACATAAAATTGCTCTTTGCAAACCAAAATGGCTTCATGTCAAAGCTTTATCACAAGTCATGTGATGTGGGTAGTTGAGAATAAAATTAAAAAAAAAATAAATCTGCACAAAATAGTTAAATCTTAAAAATTTAATATAAAAATAACAGAAGTTTGAAAAAAAAAACATAAGAAAATGAAAACCTGCTTCATTGAGGTTTGGGTGCACATTAAAACATTAGAAAAATGTATGTGAATAAGATAAGAATGAATAAAAATAAAGAAATACTAAAAATAAAAAAAATAATTAAAAGCGACCTGAAAAATAAAATCAGCTGATCATGAAGATGATCAGGAAGAAAAACATCGAGATGCAAAAAAACCTTAATAAAAATACATCAATAAAAATTGCATACAAAGTTATTAAATTCTTAAAAAAAGTATGGGAAAAATAATTTTCATTCTATGGGCAAATAATACCACATTATTGTTTATATCTATTTCCAGGATAAATATTTATGTTATTTATTATTTAGTCATAAATAACTTAAATGGAATGCATAAGAACAAATTATTATAGTTACTAAACTTTTTAAATTAATTTAATTAGGCTTTAATTATTCCACAATATTAAACATCGCTAGATTAGGAAATATAAATGTGATACTCTCACATTATTTGCCAGTAAAAATCAACAAGATATATCCTTTATATGATTTGGTTTTGATTTATAATAATTCAAACTAAGGTTTTGCTGCATGCATTTTACAGACTCAAAAAAAAAAGTTCATCTTATTACCTTCATTGATAGCTGCAGCCTCATACCAAACTCAAACTTATTTTTTATTTCTTCCATAGCATTATCAGCACCACCTTGAATCCCCAAATCTCGAATTGTATTGCTTGTCTATATTTTATAAATTGTAAATATTTTATTTAAAATAAATCTCATATATATTTATACATATATAGATATATACACATATATACATGTATGTATGTATACACATATAAAATAAATAAAACAAAACAAATAGATATATATCTATACATAAATATATCTATCAAAAACACTAAGTTTAAATTTTTTTTCAATAAAAAATAATTTAAAGGGTCCCTTAAGACCCTTGAATATTTAACGGGTCCCTAATATTTTCAAAAAAAAAAATTTTTTAATTATGTCAACCTGGTACTCAAATGAACCGAAATTATATAAAAATTTTAAAAATAATGTTCATTTCGGAAAAAAACGATATTTACTTAAACGATACTTCTTTTTTTTTAACGAAATCGACAATTTTTTTACAGAAAGTTGTTTTTTGTTTTGGCAAATATTGTATATTTTAAGGGAAATATCGTTACGTATTGTACCAAAATATAAAGTACCAAAATTAAATATACTTCTATTATGTGATCAATTTATGAAAGAGTAACAGAAACAAAATATTAAATGTTAATAAATTTTTCATTTTATAAAGTTAATTGAGACTATTATTTATTTAAACATTAAACATTGTTATTAAACATATATAAATTACGTTTTAATATACGTATTTAATTTACGTTATAAATAAAAGCAAGTAGAAATCTATTTAAGAAATTTAATCTAAGTAGAGTTTGCAGTAAAGCTTAATAAGTTATTTAACTTTTTAGCTAAAAAGGGTGAAACTTCTAAAGGAGAAGCAATTGCGGGTGTTAAACCAAATAAATTTGTTATCTAGTTAGATTGTAATATATTTCTTGCTAACTTTTCTATATAATATTTGCTGTTGTTGGAACGCATTTCGAAGAATTTGAGAAATGAATTTTAGAAATAAGTTGCCATGAAATTCCCAAAAATTGCTTGGAAAATCCCAATTTTCAAAAAGTTTTTTCCAAGAGACATTTTTGCAGTTAGACAATCAAGTAGTTATACCAATAACAACGATCTTATTTCAAGTTTTACACAAATAATTCAATTAGAGTTTTTTATGTTAATTTTCTATTAGTTTTTAATAATAATTATATTTACAATAATTTTTAGAATTATTATTCAACTTTAATTAGGCAAATTTTATTTGGAGAATGGGATTTTTTTTACCATAAAATTGGGAATTTTAATTTTATGATCATTTTGAAATACAGCGTTTGACAGTGTGTGTGTGTGTATATATATATATATATATATATATATATATATATATATATATATATATATATATATATATATATATAATATCAGGCCTTGTTTTAAAGCGTTACGCCTAGAGCAATATATATATATAGCGATATATATACGCCTAGAGCGATATATATATATATATATATATATATATATATATATATATATATATATATATATATATATATATATACATATATATATATATATATATATATATATATATATATATATATATATATATATATATATATATATATATATATATATATATATATATATTAGGGTGCATTGAAAAACAGAAATTTTTCAAAACAGTCTTGTAATAGCTCTAAATATACGAGATATAATAAATTATCATTGGATTTAAAAAAATTTTGGAATAAAATTTTTTTTTAGAGATGTCCCAAGTCAATTTAACATTTACACGGTCCCTAATATTTTTGAACAAAAAGTTCTACTAAAGTATGTAAACCTGGTACTCAAAAGAAGCAAAATTTTATAAAAAGTTCAAAAATTATATTTATTTTATAAGAACATATTAACTATGGTTTTTTAACTAAAATTAAAAGAAGTGCATTTATACAAGTTTTTTGATAATATATATTTTTTTGATGTTTTTTTATCAAACAATTATATATATATATATATATATATATATATATATATATATATATATATATATATATATATATATATATATATATATATATACATATATATATATATATATATATATATATATATATATATATATATATATATATATATATATATATATATATATATATATATATATATATATATATATATATATATATATGCTAACAATGTTACTTATTTTTTTTATCAAATTTGATAACAAAAAAATAACTTTGTGTTTTTCATTTTAGTTACACTAATAGTTAGAATTATACTTTTGTGAGAGCCGTAAATTGCTCCTAGAAACCATTTTAGGGGAGTGTAGGTGAGAACAAGAGCTAAAGCTCTCGCTTCCTGCCGTTACCTGTGTATATATATATATATACATATACATATACATATATATATATATACACAAATAGTATTGCGTACTAAAGTAAGCAATCTGACGTCATACTGAAATAGCATGCTGCTGGGGCTTCAGTACATACATCGACTGACAAATATTTTTAATGTTTAAATAAATAATAGTCTCAATAACATTTTATGACTATGACAGGCCTCCCACTCCTAAAACATGATAAAATTTTATGAGTTTGGGACAATTTTTATAAGTTTTTTATGACTTTTTAGGACAAATTAGAGTGAAATTTAGGAGATTTTTGAACAATCTAAAATCATAAACTTTCCCTTTTTAATACCCTTGGAAATTGTTTACGTTTATTTAAAGTAGACAATAAACAAAACACAATTTAATTAAAAAACTCTTGAACTTAACAATGACAACTCTTACATGTAATTTGTCGGCAAATAAAAACTTATATCTGAAATACTAAATAAAGTACCAAAATTAAATATACTTCTATTATGTGATCAATTTATGAAAGAGTAACAGAAACAAAATATTAAATGTTAATAAATTTTAAATTAAATGTTAATAAATTTTTCATTTTATAAAGTTAATATCACTCTACTGATGTTTTATTTAAAAGAAAAAAAAACTTTTAGTTAGAATAGAGTTTCTATGCAAAATAGTGTTTCAACATAATTCTAAATTGATTAAACCGACAGTTCTTTACTTCATTTTTCTAATACATCTTGCTCATCAACAAGCTCTTTTCTTCTTTTCATCCTTGTTTCAATTTTGCACTGGGCTTGCTGCAATTCAATTCTTGTGCTGTTTTTTTGAAGCAGACACTTCTTCAAATCACTATTTCCTTCAAAAACTAAATTGTCAGCAACTGGTAGACCACCTTTTATCTGCAAAAAACAAACACTTTTACTTCATACATTAATAAAAAAAATCAAAATTGACAACTAATCACATCAGTAAAACAATTTTTATAAAGTTTAGCATAACTTACTTGTTGAATGGATGCAAGAATAGCTTGTTTTTCATTTTCCAAAACATATTTTTTTGCCTCCTCAGATTCTTTAGTTTTTTTGCTTTTCTTCTTCCTTTTTCAACCTGCATTTAGCTTCCAGATCAGCTTTGTAACTTGAGTTTAACTTTATCTGATTTGTTATGGGAATATCAAGTATGGATCCAAAGCTTAATTTATATATATATTACAAAATATATTTATATATTTATATATTATATATATATAAATATATTTATGTATATTTTACAAAACCTCAAAGCCTCAATTGTATCCGGATCAAGTGAAGTCCCATGTAACTGAATGTGTTTGTTAATTGAAAATCCATTTTCTGGGGCACTATTTCCATGCAAAAGTGTAGAAACAACTTTGAAAAGGGATAAATATTAGGAAACTTAGGTAAACCACTCTCAATAAAAATTTTGGTCTCAAAGGAATTGATTAATGTATTGATATTAAAATTACATTAAAATTTTGAAACTTTAGGAAGACCGGCGAGCTGAAAAGCTTTTTCTCAGTATGAAGTTCGATATCTCCCAATTGAAACTACTTATTCAGAACATTTATAATAGCATTCTGGAAATTCCATTTGGTAAACGCGCCATTCGTTTCGTAGATTATCACAAACCTCTTCCTTTGATGAATAGGGTGGAATAAACTTTACATAACACTACTTTCAATGATTTACATACTTCTATAGTGAGATTTGTGACAGTCTCTAGAGACTCGTTACTTTCTTTTTTTTTTGAAGGATCAAGAAAGATTGCATTTTTTAAAATAACTGATTCCCAAGGTAATTTTAATTTTAAATAACTTGTAAATGCTTGATAAGACTCAAGACAATTTTGTTGAAATTTTTTCTCACCACATGAGATTTCTAGAGATTCTTAAAAATAACACTTGGCTTGGTTGCCAATAACAATTAACTTGATTGGTTTAAAATTTTTTAAGTCAGTCACATTAATCATCAGCAACTCGTTAATAGATTTTATGGAATTGCTACCATTATTATTAACATATAGAAGCTTAGTTTTGATAAACTTCAACATTAAGTTTTGACATTTCAGAGTAAATCAGGTGAATTCTTGGTTTAATTGATTGAAATGTTTTTTAAAATGTTTCAAAGTCATTTGCTATGAAAGCAATAAAAGCAATATAAGGCATTGATATTTCATTTTGCAAAATATCTGTAATCCTCTTATATCTTTCAGTATCTCTAACAGTTGATTTAAAAGATGTAGTTGTTTTATAAAATATTCACAAAGATCCTTGTATTGTTCTAAAATCTGAGAACATATTCTTCTGAATGTCACCCATCTTGTAGAAAAATGTCTTTGAATAAAATGTGAAATAATTTCTCTTAGATCTTTTATTTGTCGATAGTTTGATCTTCTTGCAGCAGAATGTTTAAAGAAAAAGTAAACATCAATTGCAAATGAGTCAATGTTGAAATTTAAAACATTAAATCCTGCTCTAAATGCATTATGAACTATATGCAGGGGGCATGTGCCTATTTATATAATATTTGCATTCAAACTTTTCATTTTCTCTGACAACTTTAAAAGTCTCTCAAACTTAATATTTACATTAGGACTATCCATACCAATATGGAGCATAAATTTTATGTTAAGTTTAACTTTCTCTACAAGTTCAAGAAAATGTTCTAACAACTTTTCAGCAGTACAATGGTCTACCATGACAGTTCCACAGTATGCAATTTTAATGCACTTGTGCTTTTTAGATCAATATTGTACATAACCATCATTCTGTTTATTAACTTGTTGAGTTGTAGATTTGTCAAATTTAAATGTAAAAACAGTATCATTCAAGTCCTCCAATAACAATGTTTTTAAATATAGAAAGATGTTGTATTGAATGGTGTATTTAGACTTTGTTTTACTTTGTCTGTATCCTTTAGCAATTTTTGAATCTGGGAACATGGCTTCAAACATTTTACTATCTCCATTGGTTGGGGCAAAAGAATAGTTAGACCAAACACACTTTAAACTATAAATAATTTTGGCTTATAAAATTTCTTCCACAACAGTGAAAATAATCTTTGAAGCTTTAATTCAAGTATTTTGTATTTATTTTTAATAAATTCTGTTTGCCTTTCTCTTTCTTTAAACCTGGATGTGTGAAGTTTGGTAATTACATGGTTTCTTACTTGTCAAGCTCCAAAAAAGGTTTTTTGGCATAATTTGCAACTTGCAGAATACTGATCACCAGGACAAACTTGTATCCAGTTAAACTCAGACTCCCACAGTTAAATATTTTTTGTTTTTCTCTTAGACATCTTATAAATATAAATAAACAATTGAAATATAAATTAACAAAGTAATTTAAACACTTTTTACAACTTTTTCTATTTTAAAGACTGACCTAAAAACAATAATAATATTGACAATCATTGATTATTATATATTCAATAGATATAGAGGATAGATAATTACAGATAAATTCTAATTCATACATTTCTATGTACACACATAAATAACATTACTATAAATCTATTATTGTATAAATGCATAAAATTAACATTTATTTTTAAAAATCTTTCAAAATTTTAGGACAATTTAGGACATAACCCTATAAATTATGACATTTTGTTAAAAAAAAAAAAAAAAATTTAAATTTGGGACATTTTGGGATTTTGGGACAGACTGGGATGCTATAATTAAAAAAATAATTATTAGAATTCTTTGTTGCAACAATAGTATGCAATCGCTGGTGATCAATATTCTTTTGTAGTTAGACGACATTTATTGGTGTTTTTGCTCAGACTTTGTAATTGTAACTTTATTTTGCAATGCGATTTATGTAAAGAAAATTAATATTATTTATAAAATTGAACTCACAATAAATGTGAAATATGAAATTTACAAGCTCATGTTTACTACTTTGAATACCTTTATTATTTTTCTATTTTTAAAACATTTCTTTTGATGGCACAATTTATTACATAACGGTGTGCAGGTTTGTCCAAAAAGGACATCAATCAGAATTTATATTATAATTAGAAATAGAAGATCATTGGCTCTCGTCCGCAGAGATTTTCATTGAATATAAATCACTATATTACTTTAAAAATTGCCCTTTATGGCCCACCAGTAAAAAAGTAATATATATTCAAAAGAATACTCTTAAAATGAAAACGGCAATGTTATATTAAGATTACAAATAATTCAAAACTATTATTCTTAATAATAATTAATTAATATACACTGATTATTTTATAATATAAAACTGTAGAATATTTTGTTGTGAAACACTTTAAATTTTGTGTTGATTTTATATTCATCTTCAATAAATATTACAGATGGTATTTTATTTTATTTTTGTCCGCAGAGATTTTCATTGAATATAAATCACTATATTACTTTAAAAATTGCCCTTTATGGCCCACCAGTAAAAAAGTAATATATATTCAAAAGAATACTCTTAAAATGAAAACGGCAATGTTATATTAAGATTACAAATAATTCAAAATTATTATTCTTAATAATAATTAATTAATATACACTGATTATTTTATAATATAAAACTGTAGAATATTTTGTTGTGAAACACTTTAAATTTTGTGTTGATTTTATATTCATCTTCAATAAATATTACAGATGGTATTTTATTTTATTTTTGTTATCCAGTCAATGTATGCAGTGCTGAAGTGGAGAAGAAGAAGAAAGAATATAAGAAAAGGACCCCATGCATCCCTGTAACACATTTTAATCTCAGAGGAAGGGGCAGAGGATTGGGAAATATTTTGAAAATTCCTAATTTTGTCAAAACGGTGTACCAAATTTATTCCTGGTTAACACCATTTCAATTTACTTTTTAGTTCTGGAAACAACATAAACATACAAATCTTTATAGTTTTAAAAAATATTTCAAGACTTAAAAAACCACCAAAATTACAAACTTTCTGACCCCTACTTTACATTAGTGTTAACATAGTTATAGTTCATCATCTTTTTCTGAACTGGGTCCATTACATCTTTATTAATTGAAACTGGATATTTGACAATGTTACAGTATTAAAATGGTCCAATCACAAAAATACATGGCAGAATATTAAGAAAATATTTAAGTAAAAAAAATAAAAATATTTTTTTTAATTAAATATTTTCTCATTTTATGTGCATAAATATAAAATTATATTTAGGCACAAATAAAAAATATATAAGCTGAAAATATCTACGCAATGAGTTTGTCATAATACCAACAGTATAATAGAAATATCTTTTACCTTTTGAAGTTGCTTCATAAGCTCATGATATTCTTCATATACTTTTATAAAGCCTGACAAATCAAAAATTAAAAACTGTCTACTATTTAATTATTTGTGATTAATCTAAAAAATCAATAAATGAAATTATTAAAAAAAAATAATATCAAAAAATAAAAGTGTATTGAATTACCTAACTTATAGCATTGATGGGTGAGAAAAAAAACATCAGCAGTAAATTTAAACTTGATTGCATCGATTTCAATTGATGGTACTAAAATAAATAGTCTGTGTTCACAATAAACATCATACAGTTACATCAACTAAATTTACTACATCAACAAAATACATCAAACATTAATACATCAACAAAAACAAAATAAACATCAACAAAATACAGTAAATATTAACAAATAATAAATTGATATTTTTGAGTTGTGAACAAGGCCAAAAATAGCAAGGCCAAGGCCACATGTTCCAAGGCCAAGACCAAGGCTAAGAGTTTCAAGGTCAAGGGAAAGTGTTTTAAGGACAAGCCCTGCGCAGACATTTTCAAAGCTAAAGACTTTGATTTTGGCCTTACGTAAGGCTAATTGTTAACAAAACTGCAGGTTGCAAGTGCTGTGACAATAAAGCCACATGTTGTGAAAAGTCTTTGTTACATTTTAGAAACATTAAAGTTTCAAGCAAAAAAATCAGACATACAAGCTCTATGAAGGTGCATTATCAATGATAATGCGCCCTCATAAAAAAATAATAATAATATGCACCCTCATAAATAAAAAAATTCAATGAATATAGAGAAATCTTGGCCACCCTTTAGTTATAAACACAAATAAAAAGTCAATTTTGAAGATTTACCGTAATTTTGTTGTTGCAGAATCATTTTTCAAAAGTCATAACATTGTTAAAAAACAATGTTAATCTTGTATTAAAACTACTTTTTTTAAAATCTAATTAGTAAATTAATTGACTATTATAAATGAAAGACCACTTTCTTTGTAAAACCTTTTCCTGCTTCCCATCTTTTGTCACTATTTTCTTGAATTTGATAAAGTTATCAAATATCAAAGAAAATATCAAATATCAAATTGAGAAAATATCAAAGAAAATATCAAACATCAAATTGAGAAAATATCAAACATCAAATTGAGAATAGAATTTTTATTCTCAAGATTTAATTTAAAAAAGTAAAAAAGTTTTTTTTATATAAAACTATCTTTTATAATAAAAATAAAAAAACAAAGGGACTTATATATAATAACTATATAATTAGTATAAGAGTCAAACTCAGTGTAGTTAAGGCGAATTTAAAAATTATTTGAATTCTTTTATTTGGAATTAACATGATTTTATCAGCGTATTTTGTCCAAACAAGAGATTTAGATGTTGTAAATTTATTTGCTTCAGGCTTTTTTTATATTTAAAGAAACTTTTCTTTTTTATATATAATTTTCAAAACCTTTTTACTACCCCTAATAGTGAATCTAAAGAACACCATTTTGGAGTCTTTAGACCGCTTTCGCTCTTTGACGTTAACATGAATTTAGTTAAAATGTTTTGAAAAAGTGCTTTAACCCACTATAGATCACTATAGGTTCTGACGTATATTAACTATATATAGTTGTCAAAATACAATATTTCTATCAATTTTCATAAAAAATACTAGAATTCCAACCAAGAAAGAGTTTATAATAAAGAAAAATTACCAATAAATGATCAGAACAGATCATATTATTAAACAGATGGCGTTTATTTCACCTAAAAAACGTGCTTATTAAAATCTTGTTTAAATTCGGACAAGCGGACATTTTAAGAAGATTTTTTTTTTAAAGAGAATCTTTGGTCTGGGTTTTTTTTACTACAAACATTTATATTTTATGTTGCTGCAAAATTTATTATTCTAATTTTTTTCGTCCTTTCATAATTCACAGACCTGATCATTTAATGGAAATGTGTCGTAGTCAACAAAACATCATACAGACGTTATAATATTTTAAAATTGCCTTAACTACAACGAGTACAGAGATTATTTGATAAAATTTGGCCAATCAAATTACATAAAACTCAAATAATTTAAAAGAAAATTTAAAATAAAGTACTTTATAAAAAAAGAAAAAAGAAAGATACTTTACTATTATCAGATTTATGAGCCATTGGATTTGCGGCAGATAAACCTACACAGTGGATTGGAGTGTCTTTATTTCTAATAAGATTGTGATTAGTTTTAATAGCTCCATAGCGACAATCAACTTTTATAAGAAGATTTGAATTTGGTACAAGAAAAGGTTGACAAAATTTTAACAACACATGCGTAAGATTTACGAAAAAACCAGCAGGTGCTACTATAGACGAATCAACATACATCTACATTGAAAAAGTATAAAAATAATTTACTTTTTTTTTTTTTGGACATCAATCATAAAACATTAATCATTTAACCGGTAAATCCTTTAAAAAAAAAACATCACCTTTAGACATAATCATCAAACATAATTAACACTAAATAAACATTTATTTTTATTATTTTTAGAAAAAACAAATTTAGAAATTAGATTAGATGTCTCACCACTAATAAACATTATTACAATGAGTCTCACATCCAAAAATGTTACAATAAAAATAACTAAAATTTACTTTAGCTCGATCTTTATTACAATCTAAACACAATCCAATCCAGTACATAACTCTATGTTGAGCATCAGGAACTTTCATAATATTGTAAAGAAACTCATGTAACTTTGTAACAATAAAATCAGTTTGACGTTGAACACTTTCTGTTATAAAACTCATTTGGGACTCAGATTGACGCGAGGGTTCAAGGAAATGCTCCTAAAAGTTGTCAAAATGATTATAAAATAACTTCACAAACAAAAAAACAAAAAGTGCTGTAAAAGCTAAAAAAACAACAAAGAAATTAGAAACAAAAATAATAATAAATCTAAGCTAAACTAATCTTAATAAATAGTTGCTGACTTCTAGCTCAAGATCTAGCGAAGATTTTTCTACTGTGAAAGAATAATCAAGATATGGAATTCTCTACCTGATTATATTGTTTACTCGCCCACTTTGTCTTTGTTCAAATCAAATTTGAAAAAGTACAATGTTTATCACCATTGCACACTATTTTAACTTGTTTTTTTTGTTTTTTTTTTGTTGTTTTTTTTTCGGTGTTACATAAGAGTAATATTGATATCACCTGTATCACCTTTTTGTATTTCTTATTTTTAAATGCAAATAAATTAGATATTAAATAATGTAAAATAAAAAATATTACAAACCAGGCTTGGTCGGGAAGCGGGAGCGATCGCTCTCGATTGCTGACCACGTAAACAATATTTAGTTGCGAAAAGCTGGCCAGATTTTTAGTCGTTTTGAGAACATTTTAAAAAGCAAAAAAATAAAAGCGACGAAGATTAATTGGACCGATGAGAGACAATTACAAAAAAAATAAAATTAAGCGATATTTTTTATATTAAGTAACAACTTACGATCGTTTAAAAGGGAAATAAATATTCTTTATTTAACTAAGTTTGCAAGTTTTAGTTTTACTTAAGCTAAATTATTTTATAAATAAAAAAGTTAATTTTTTTAATACCTATTTTATGTTTCGCGTAGTTTGAAAAGTTTAACATATTTGAAGCGATTCTTCTTAGTAAGATAAACAAATGAAATAATTAAATCATTGAATTACTATAGGAATTAAATAATCAAGATAGAAATCAACTAAAAAGGTTAAAAATACTTAATGACCAGGAAGCGAAACTGCTTCACAATATCGCTGATGATGTTTAGTGAGTGGGCTTTTCAATTTTAATTAGTATTTAAAGCAGAAAAAAGTATAACGAGTTTTGAGAATGGCAACTTAAGCGAAAATAATTAGAGTAAGTAAACCAATATCTAGAAACTTTTCTTTATGTCTAATTATTTGCTATATATATTTGTGTTCTGCCGTGACCTCAGGCGTGATGCTTGTTCATCCGCGAGTTACTTTGTATGCGTTGTTTGTGTTTAGTAACCAGAAACTACTTATATGTTTGTTACATAATTAGTTTTACTAACTTTAACGATTATAACTTCATTGAAAACGCAATTATTTTTGTAAGTCTTTGTTTAAATCATAAAAATTGCTTTAAAAGATACATTACGATAAAAAACAAATACACAAAATAACATTTACATAAAGAATACAACCTCTTTTAAAATAAAAAATAAGAATATACTAATAAAATCTATGATTTATAATAAACTTTTAAAATTTTAACAATTTAATCAATATATATTTAAAACATTTATTTTCGTAAACAAATAATATAAATTTTTAAAACAATGCTAGAAATCTCAAAACGTAACAAATCGTGTATAATAGAATTTCTAAAACATTTTAACAGAATACTCAAGAACTTTTTATTTCGCTTAATTAGCGTGTTTTTTTAACCAATAGAATTAGTTTGTTCGTTAATTTGGCGGGTTTTTAGTGTTCACAAATATTATTTTTATTCTTTTGCACAAAGATGTTTTGAGAACATTCAATTTTTATATGTTTCCATGTATGTCCGTAAAATAAAAATTTTTTGTTTCGTACATAAACTTAAATGTTCTCAAAATGACTTAAAAACCTGGCCAGTTTTACGCAACTAAATATAATTTCCGTGGTCAGTATTCGAGAGCGATCGCTCCCGCTTCCCGACCAAGCCTGACAAACTCATTAAATGTACATGTACTAGAAATAACATTATTATTTTAGCAACAAGATATAATTAAAAAAAAAAATTAAACTCTTTACTGATGGGCTGGTTACATCATTTGGAATAGGAGATAACTGGAGTAATCTACCAAGTAATGTTTGTGTTGAAAATGCTACACCAAGAGTAACTAAGTGTGAACTGAATCTTGGTAACCAATACGGACTTTTTAGTAATATCTATAAATAAAATCTTCTAATATCTTTGCTTTGTAAATTTAAAGGATGGACATTAAAATCTTTAGGCATCTACATTGAAAACTTACCCAAGTTAATGAATTATATTTTGAGAAAAAAATTATCGATTCAAGCAAAGCGCTAACATCTTTATGCAAAAGTTTTAAATTCACACATCGCTCCCAAATTTCATCCAATAATGGTCTAAATATTTCACTCTAAAAAAAATTAAAGTGCTTAATATAAATTTTTACATTTATTAGATAAAAAAAAGATTTCAACTTGAAACTTAAAAAAAAAAACCATAACAATATTTCATTTAAAATTAAAATTGTTTAAATAAAGCATTTGTGGTAATTGAGGTAAGTTAAAACATTAAAAAAGAAAACTTGATGTCAGGTCAAAACAAATACTAATAGAATAAATGACTATCAGAATAAACATAAAAGAAATTAATACTATAATTTTTATATATTAAGTATAATGTCATGCTGAAATAGCGATAGAAAGGACAGAAGCTTGTATAAATCACTGACTGAAAATTTTGGTTTTGGCAGGCAGTATGGAAGACAAAAATAATTGCTAATAATTTTATTTTAACAGATTATATCTGCTCCAGCAAAGAAGCTTTTTTTATTACTTTTTTATCTTTCTTTATTTTCTAAAAGATATATGTCAAAAGGCTGCAAGTTAATCTATTATAATATTAATTAAATATTTATAATATAATACCTTGCAATATTAGTATACCATCTTTTTTTTATTTATGACCAATTTTAACAGCTTACTTAATGTAAACATAGTATACTTATTATACTTATCTATGACTTACCAGGTCATTTTCATCAGTATGTAACTCCACTAGCTTACACAAAAATTCATTCATATCAGGATCAGCTAAAATAGTGTATATAAAAGATAACATATGAAAATCTGGGAACTTTAATTTATAAATTTTAAATTATAATTTCATAAAAAAAGAATCATAAAAACAATTTTATTCTGCTAATAATTTTTTTCTTTTAAAAGTATTCTTAAAAGTAAAGAACTAATAAAGAATTAAAACCCGAAAGTTGTTTTCAATTGATTGAGGCAGATTAGGATTGAGGTAATTTAAATTTAAACAGATTCATTGAGATGGTTTAAATTTAAACAGATTCATTGAGATGATTTAGCTTTAAAAAGAAGAAAAAGCTCTGCAAGTAAACTATACAAGTTGTCCAAGATAAAAAAAATTGATTATTGATTTTTAATCAAATCATGCATGTATATAATTGTTCATATGAAGTACTTTTACTAGCATAAATTTGATAATCAGAATGTTTAAATAACATTCACATAAAAATACACTCAAACATAAAGGTTTTAAATAAATTTAAAAAAAAATTGCAACCTGATAACTGCATAATAATATTAAACAATTGTACATGGGGATTATTAGTAGGAAATATATCTGGTTGAAGAAGTATTGTCCTATAATCAAATTTGACTTGCATGTAAAAAATGTACAAAATATATGTAAAGTATGATAAAATATTCTTTTAAATAAAATTCTAATCAAAATAATAAACTGAAATAATTTTTAAAAAGTATACCCAGTAAAAGAAACAATAAATTGTCTACAGGATTTTGAAAGATTTAAAACTTTTTCTGCTAATAAACCATCCTAAGAAATAAAAAAATTCTAACTAAACAACTTTTACTTATTAATACATAATATTAAACCATTGATTAAAAAATAAAATATAAATAATAGTCATTTTTCAATCAACCTTACTTTAGCAACATTTTACACATTAATTACACTTTGCAATTTAATAAAAATACAAACAGAAAACTATTTCTGTTTTCTACTTTTAATGATAATGTATATTGACAACTTTAATATTGATGAGACTAGTGAAAAAACTTTTAAATGTATTTGTATGCAATTTCAATTCTTGTTTCAAATTGCTTCATATTGTAATTTGAGGAGAAATTTTGGGCAGAGAAAAACATAAATTCAATGACATTTTTTTTAAAGTGTGCTTTATCTTTGTATCAGAGATGATGTTTCGATAAAAATACTCATCTTATGCAGAAATTAAATGCACCCAGCTACTGTCTTGTAGAAGGCCTCCAAGGCAAAGATTAAGGGGTAAACAGATTCTATCTGTCGACCAGCTTTGCACCCTTTTATCAATTAGGCTGGGGTAGATGTATTTATAATACATAGTTTTCAGTTTAAAATATTGAATGCTGGATCATTTTGACTCATTGCATCGGTTTTACTTGTGTCTTTGTTTTAATGACTAGACAACTTATTTTATTATCTCCTAATAAGAATACAACTTTAAAACTCAGTTTTATGATTCTGAGGCCACCTGTTAGTCAGGTTTCCTGAATTCTGTGTTAACTAGCAGAGAGGCTGATTCCATCAACAGCTATAAAATATAAGAAAACTATCAGTGCCATGTTGCGCGTGGATGGTGTCCCTGTTTGTATATTTGATGTGCATTGTCAAGGCCCATTTGGAGCCCTTTGTTAGGGTTTATTATTAGTAATGAGGCTTGGATTATTAAATAGTGTATTGAGTACTATCTGTGCTTTAATTCAAGTTCTATAACCAATTTAAAATACTTAAGTATCAAAAACTATAAAACACAAAAAACCATCATCATCACCAAGTTCTCTAAATCTGTTATTCACTAATATCAGAGGCCTTCGAAGTAACTTTTCTGTTGAGTCTTATCTCTTTCAAAGTTCACCAGACCTACTTGCTGTTTGTAATTTTAATTTGAATTCAGCTGTCGCATCTTGTGATCATCATGATGACGGCTATCTTCCTTTAATTCGTAAAGACTCCAGTAGTCACATGCTTAACCTGGGCATTTACATTCTGTTTGTGGATTCAAACTGGGTTTGAATCCACAAACTATTCTTATATGTGCTTTCGTTTAGCACCACTTCACTCAATCACCTTTCTCTTAATTCTATACTGCTCTCTTTCATCTCAAGACTGCTCTTTTCAATATTATTTATGATCAAATTGACCAACCACTTTCTCTTTATTCTTCAGCCAATATTCTTGTTATTGATGACTTTAACACTCATCAAACCGAATGGCATGTTTCTAGTGATAGTGACTCTGCAGGCAGTAAAGCCCACAACCTTTGCCTTTCTCAATCTCTCAAACACAAATAACTAGAACAATGATCATTAAGAAATTTTCTTAAAATGGGGTATTTAGTGATTTAAGTATTTGTTTATCAAAAAATAATCAACTACATTTTGAAATAACATGCAATCTAAAAATAGTTATCGTTTCACATGAAAAAAATTCAAATATATAAAAAACTTGCTTTAATCTTTCTTAACAAAGAGGCTTCTTCTGATGCAAGTCTTTTATAACACTGTGAAAGATATTTAATAAGAAGATCTTCACTTGCTTCAGCTACGACAGCACTAGCTTTTTCATGATAATTCCCCTGCACACAAACATTGTTCTTAGCTTCACTCATTTGAAGGCGCTCCATTAAAGCCTATGGGTAAAATATAAAATACAAAAATTAAATTAAATATTATTGTAAACAATTGAATAATAAATAAACTACCATTTGCCCAAACCTGACATCACAGGTTTGGGCAAATGGTAGATTAACAGGATAACAGCCATTAGTGTTTGATTTTAAATTTTTATATAACTTTTTTGGTAAATTTTGATTGGATGTTCATAATTGAATGTTTTATGTTCCTAACCAATTAACTCTACTTAATAAATTTTTGTAAATTATGTCAAAACACTTTATTGACTTTTATGACTTTTATAATTTCTTTGGTGATAATATATAACTATAATCTTAATAGTAAGAGACATTGAAAACGTTTTCCGCACTATTTGATTGCTCTAATCTAGGTTTTTACATTTGTTAAAAAGAAAAAGGCAAGTTAATGGATCTTAAAAATTATGGGTTTTTACAAAAGTATTACTATAAAATTATTAAACTGAAAATTAAGAATTTTCTTAAAAAACTAAAAAAAAAGTTTCAAAAATAAAACTTTTTACCTGGTTGAGATTGAACTCTGAAAGTTGACATGGTTGATTCAATGACTTTAAATCATTTTTTAGTTCTTCAAGTTTTATACATCTTTTAGGTAACCCCCCATACTGAATTATACCTGTATTGCTTGTATCTAAATAAACAAAGAAACATTTAATTTTTTTTTTTTGATAAATTAATTTTTTTATATAAATTGAAATGTTGTAGATTATATATTTTTAAAGATGAAAATAAACCTGAATTCAAAGTGATAAGGAAGATGCGCTGCAAATAATCATTCAATATTTCATTAGTCATATCATTCATGACTGTTTCTGAATCTTTTTCAACAATTGTTTTACTATTATTTTTTTCAATATTCATTTGGTCATCAAGACTTTCAGAAGAACTATCTGTCAAAACATTTATTCTTGAAGCCTTTATATACTCTTCAGCCTGTTTCACATTGCCAAAGAAAGCAATAAAAGGGTTGTTTGATAAACTGTTATCTTCACTACTCATTTTAAAATTATTTATTACTGCAAAAAATTTAAATAAACAATTAAATGCATATATATTTATGTATGTATGTACATATATATATATATATATATATATATATATATATATATATATATATATATTATATATATATATATATATATATATATATATATATATATATATATATATATATTTAAATTTGTAGAAAATCACTTAGCAAAATTTTTTCTCATTTTGCTAAGTGATTTTCTACTAATTTGTAATTGCTCTGTTCTTTAAATACATTTTAAATTGTTTAAATATATATATATATATATATATATATATATATATATATATATATATATATATATATATATATATATATATATATATATATATATATATATATATATATATATATATATATATATTTATATATATATATATATTTATATATATATATATTTATATATATATATATTTATATATATATATATTTATATATATATATATATATTTATATATATATATATATATATTTATATATATATATATATTTATATATATATATTTATATATATATATATATATATATTTATATATATATATATATTTCAACCCTCAGAATTAGTGTTGACATTCGGTAATGCCAACCTGACTACCAACCTAAAAGTGTTTGAGGTTAGCAAAAAATCACCGACCTCATTTCTATGTTTTATGGTAACCTCTTTGTCTCAAATTTTTATTGCCGACCTAACAGTTTGAGGTCGGAAATAAACTGCCGATCTCATTTTTCCTAATTCCAAGGGTTGATATATATATTGCATTGACATTTATATTATTGGGGATAGTGCAAATCCAACTAACTAGCATTGGATAATACAGCATATCTGACAAATGTAACCAATGAATATTAAGCATATAAAGTAACAACTTTAACACCTATTATTGATATTACAAAGAATATGAATAAAACTCTCTATATCAAAATAAGCTCAAAATCTGTTGAAATAAAAAATATTGACCTACTCCCGGTAAACTATCTGTAGCACAGTTGTATTGTTGTATTCAATTCTAGTTATGCAGATTTGCACTATCCCTGGCCATATATATATATATATATATATATATATATATATATATATATATATATATATATATATATATATATATATATATATATATATATATATATATATATATATATATATATATATATATATAACAATTATTATTTACAAAACATATTTTAAATAAGATGCTTAAACGCATTATTTACAATAAAAGAAATGTTTAAAAATTGTCTACGCTTAAAATTTGTTAACAGCTATTCATACAATTTATTCATTTTATTTAATATATAAACATTTATTTATACCTAATTAAAACAATATAATTATTATTTAAAAAAATAGCATCTTAAATTTAAATATAAATACCCGTTAAGTGTTAATTTACCTAATATTATAATAAACTGGTATTGTAATTCTAATACCTTAACTATAATTTTTATAAGATATAACTTTGAGAAAAATATTTTAATAATAAAACACAAGCTTCATGCTGCAATAATAAATTTATTTTCCTTTTTGATTTTTATTTATAAATTTAGTAAAACCAATCAAATTTTATTTGCAAGCAGAACGAATGATTGAAGAAACATCTAAAAAAAAATTGAAATAATATAAATTTTGAAATAAAAAATTGAAATAATATAAATCTTTATTATCTTATCTTATATATATATATATATATATATATATATATATATATATATATATATATATATATATATATATATATATATATATATATATATATATATATATATATATATATATATATATATATATATATATATGTATTATATATATATATATATATATATATATATATATATATATATATATATATATATATATATATATATATATATACATATATATATATATATATATATATCAGCATGGAAAATAACTAATCGAAAGCAAGTGGTCAATTTGACATGCTAACACATGGAATTGACGCACAATTGTTTTTTTTAGGTGGTCAAAATTTTTATTTTTTTATTTGTTTAAATTTTCAGAGTAATTATAGTTCTTCATGATTGAAACTAAACACACACAAATAACTCATATACTTTATAAAATAACAATTTTAAATAAAATCAATGTATTTTTTTAACTTATACTCGAAATAACTAATGTTCAAACTAATGTTAATTTGTTTAAACTCACTGATTTTCATTAAATTAAAAAAAAGAAGTTTGATAATATCTAAGTAATTTAGTATTGATTTTTTTATTTATTATCAAAACAAATATAAAATATTAAAAAATTTAAACTGAATACTTAATACTAAAAAAAAATGTTTCATTAAATGCTATTAAAAAATGAAAGTGCTGTTTGTCTCTTTTTACTTGCCATTAAGACAGGTTGACGTTTGATTTACATTACAATTCAATAATAGATAGATAAAAAAAATTGCAAACACGCAATTGATTATTTTAAACTTATTTAAAAAAAAATTCATTTACTGCAATTACTTTTCATTGGCGGGAAAACAAATAAAATAAATGAAAAGATTAAATGATAAAACAGTACAAAGAGAAAAAGGAAGAGAAAATGTTCTTAGTTAAATTTAAATAATAATTTTATTAAATTAATAAATTTATATTAATAAATTTATATTAATAAAAATAAATTTATATTAATAAATTTATATTAATAAAAATTATATTAATAAATCTGATTTTAATGAGCTGAGATGAAAAAAATTTTTATCTCATTTTAAAAACTGTTAAAATTATTTATTAATAATGTTATTAACACTCGTGCACAGAAACTATTAAAAATAACTATTTAAAAAATACTTAATAATAAGAAGACAATTGTTTTATGAAACACTACAACAAAAACTTTTACATATATTTTATTTTATATATATTTTTAAAAATCCTATTATAAAAATGTTTAAATTTATCTATAAATCATTCACACATTTATTAGCAATACACATTTGCAGAAAAAACTTGAAAGAAAAAAAAAAAAACAGTTAAAAGAAAAAATATTCTCAGTTAAATCATAGTCATAGTATTTAACTAGCCTGAAAACGCGGGCCGTTTTCTTAAAACACTTAAGTTCCTCTCGATACTAGTGCTCAGCCTACTTTAGAGTGCATCAAATTGTAAACATTGTATTTTGCTATAGATAAGTTACATATATTCTGGGATAAATATTGAAATGGCATGAACAAATTGTGATTTTTTTGGTTATTCAGTTTCAAGTTAATATTTTGGATTACATATATATTTCGTATTCCGAATAAAAATGATGAATATAGCATAAAATAAAGACATCAACTGTTGATAAATGTAGTTATGTGACAGAGTTTGTATTGGTATAAATATGCTTATTCAACCATATAGCTTATATCATATAAGCATTTAAGTTATATACTATATGAAAATATGTTATAGATACAAAAATTTTATCGACTGTATAACTTGATGGATGTATATGGGTATAAATGCTTTGTATTATATTCAGAGTATATTTATTTAAAATGTTAGCTAATATAGCTTAATAAACTCTATATTCTATATATAGTTTACTTAGCTGGATTAGTTGATAATTTATATATTACTCTTAACACTATGTTGGTATCTTTTCTCAAAACAAGAAAAAATCAGGTACAATTTTATCATTTTGAATGGTTTCAAAGCTAAATTAGATAATGTTGGTTTCTTTTAAGATATGTGCTATACCCTTAACACAGCATATTTATCTACCTTAGAGAGAAAATTATATCTTAATTATTACCTAAATTTATTTATGCTTTTGCTTTATTTATTTATATCTTAATTATTACCTAAATTTATTTAATTATGCATTTGTTTATGCTAATCGCAAGTTGTTGAAAAAGCATTTTAAATGATTTGTTTATGCCTAATCCACCACATTAAAATAAGACAACTCGTTACTGTCTTATTTAAATATGACTTATCCAACTTAAAACATATGGAAAAAAAGATATACGTAAGGATGGTAAGTTTATGCAGTGGAACCATTTTGTTTATATATTCTATGAAGACAGAGAATGCGGCCTTTGTATTTCACCTAAACTTACTTTTGAGCATATAAAGTTGGCAAAATATTTATTAAAAAGTGTTAACCTTGCTGCCTAAGTAATAAGTTTTTGCTGTAACAAAAATTTTATTACATTATGGAATAGCTTATTTGAAAATTTTGAAAATAGCTTATTTGTCACGGCTTAGGGTTAATTAACAGGACAGAGACAACTGCATAGCTCATTGATTAGGAGGCTGTGCTCTATCTATGAATGAGTCAAGTTCTCATTAAACCCAAATCATGACCAAAGTAACCAAAAATTTAAAACCTAAAAAACCATCCCCACCACCTAAATATTTTAATATATCTTTTACAAATATTCGCGGTCTGCGAAGCAACTTTCCATCAGTTGAGTCTTACCTCCTGCAAAATTCACCAGACTTGCTTGCACTCAGTGAAACAAATTTAAATTCTGCAATTCCTTCTTCAGATGTCAGTGTTGATGGGTACTATCCTTTGATTCGTAAAGACTCCAATAGTCATATGCTAGGTTTAGGGGTATACATACGCATTAATTCCCCTATTTGTCGTGAAATCAGGTTCGAATCCTTTGACCATTCTTTTATGTGCTTTCGCCTAGCACCTCTTCACTCTATCACCTTTCTCTTTGTTCTTTATCGTTCTCCTTCTTCCCATGATTGCACTCTCTTAGATGTTATCTCTGATCAAATTGACCATGCCCTCTTTCTTTACCCCTCTGCCAATATTGTTGTTGTTGGTGATTTTAATGCCCATTACACTGAATGGCTTGGCTCTAACACCACTGATCCTGCTGGCACTAAAGCCTTTAACTTCTGCGTTTCTCTATCTCTTACTCAGATAGTTAACTTTGTGACTCGTTTTCCGGACAACCCTAATCATTTACCTTCACTCCTTGACTTATGTCTTGTCTCTGACCCTAGCTTATGTTCAGTTTCTCCCTTTTCTCCCTTAGGTGGTTCTGACCATGCAATGATCTCTATAAATCTTACATCTCGTACTTCTTTTTTGGGCTCACCTTATCATCGCACCACCTACTACTACCCTAAAGCTGACTGGGATTCCTTTCGTGATTTTCTTCGTGATGGTCCTTGGGCTGATGTTTTTTCTCTCTCAGCTGACAAATGCGCCTCCTACATAACCTCCTGGATTCAGGCTGGAATGGAAGCTTTTATTCCTTCGCGTCGGTTTCAAGTCAAGCCTCATTCTGCTCCATGGTTTTCTCCTTCTTGTGCGGCTGCTATATCCAATCGCAATCATTTTTTTCATCTTTTTCAAAAGAACAACTCTCTTGAGAACAAACGGCTATTTATTATTGCAAGAAATCGATGTAAAAAGGTGCTTTCTGATGCTAAACTCCATTATTCTCAGTTCACTAAATCTTGCATCTTATCACAGAAGTTAGGCTCTAAAGACTTTTGGAAAATCTTCAACAGCATTATTAACAAGGGTAGATCTAACATTCCATCTCTCATTCATGGGACTGATCTTATTACCTCTCCCAAGGATAAGGCAGAACTATTTGCAAGGAACTTTTCTTCTAATTCCACTCTTGAATCTTATGGACATTCTCTTCCTTCCATTCCAGTCAAACAGGTTGACCCATTGTTAGACATTCAAATCACTCCGGCTTCTGTTGCTAAAGTCATATCTCAATTGAACTCGTCTACAGCTTGTGGTCCAGACAACATTCCTGTCACAGTCTTGCAGAATTGTTCTCCAGAACTTTCTTCAATTCTCTCTAAACTATTTAACAAGTGTTTGACTGAGTCTTGTTTTCTTGCTTGTTGGAAAATGGCATCTGTAGCTCCAATATTCAAAAACTCTGGAGAAAATTCTGACCCCTCCAATTATCGTCCGATCAGTCTTCTTTCTGTTATTAGCAAGGTCTTTGAGTCTTTGATCAACAAATTTCTCACATCTCATCTTCAGTCAAATAAACTGCTGTCAGACAATCAATACGGTTTTCGATCCTCTCGCTCTACGGCTGACTTGCTAACTGTTGTAACTGAAAGATTTTATCATGCATTAGATGGAGATGGTGAGGCTAGGGCTATTGCTCTCGACATATCTAAAGCTTTCGACAAAGTTTGGCATGCTGGTCTTCTCCATAAGCTTGCTTCATATGGTGTTTCTTGGAAAGTTTTTGAGATTATCAAATCATTTCTTTCTAAGCGGTTTATTAAAGTCATCCTTGAAGGCCAACACTCTTCTTTATTTCCAGTAACTTCTGGGGTTCCACAAGGTTCCATCCTGGGCCCTGTTTTGTTTCTTATCTACATAAACGATCTTCCTGACAACCTTTCATCTAAAGTAGCTCTTTTTGCTGATGACTCAACTTTATACTCCTGTCTTGACAAAAAGTCTTCTCTTTTCGATCGCCTAGAACAAGCAGCTGATCTTGAATCCGATCTCACTTCAGTAATAGATTGGGGTTCACAGTGGCTTGTGAATTTCAACTTTAAAAAAAACCCAGTTGCTTACTGCAAACAACTACCGTAATATGGTCAACATTCCTATATTAATGAATGGCAATCCTCTTACTGAGTCCTCC